GAGCTGCTCGGTCTGCTTGCCATCTTCGACCCTCCCCGTCACGACACCAAGGAGACCCTCGACAACGCCCAGGCCCTCGGTGTCCGCGTCAAGATGGTTACTGGTGACCAGCTCGCTATCGCCAAGGAGACCGGTCGTCGTCTCGGTCTCGGTGACCGCATGGTCAACTCCAAGGTTCTCGTTGACGGTGCTCTCCCTGCCGGCAGCCCCTACAAGTCGCTTGACGAGATGATTCTCGACCTCGATGGATTCGCCGGTGTCTTCCCCGAGCACAAGTACGAGATTGTCAAGCGTCTCCAGGGTCTCGGCCACTTGACCGCCATGACTGGTGACGGTGCCAACGACGCTCCTGCTCTTGCCCGTGCCAACGTCGGTGTTGCCGTCGAGGGTGCTACCGACGCTGCCCGTGGTGCCGCCGACATTGTGCTCACCGAGCCCGGTCTGTCCACCATCGTCGAGGCCATCCGTCAGTCGCGTATCATTTTCGGTCGTATGAAGAACTACGCTGCTTACGCTGCCGCCATCACCATCCGTGTCGTTGTCGGTTTCGCTCTGCTCGCCTTTATCTGGAAGTCGGACTTCCCTCCCTTCATGGTCCTGATCATTGCCTTCCTCAACGACGGTTCCATCATGACGCTCTCGCTCGACACTGTCAAGCCCGCTCTCGAGCCCCAGCACTGGGACTTGACCGAGCTCTTCTTCTGCGGTTCGCTCTACGGTCTCTACCAGGTCGCCTCGACCCTGTCGCTCTACGCCGTCATCTACGAGACCACCTTCTTCGAGGACAAGTTTGGCGTCACCCCTCTGCACGGTAACCCCAACGACCCTCGTCTGCACATGATCATGTACCTCCAGGTTGCCATTTTGGCTCAGGCTCTGATCTTCGTCACTCGATCGCACGGCTTCTCGTGGATGGAGCGTCCCTCGTTCGCTCTCATGGGTGCCTTCTGCCTTGCTCAGCTCATCTCGTCGATCATCGCCGCTTACGGCAACTGGGGCTTCACCAACGTCCGCGCCATCGAGGGTGGTTGGATCGGCATTGTCTGGGTCTGGAACATCGTCTGGTACTTCCCCATGGACCTGGTCAAGTTCTTTGCCAAGTTCCTGCTCAGGAACATCCGATCCAAGAAGACCCCTGCTGCTGCGCACGAGGGCAGTCTCAGCCGCACCACCTCGCGCGCCGGAAGCACCTACTCGAACCGTCTCTCGTTCCTCAAGCGTGCTCAGCGCAAGGCTGGATTCGGCGGTGAGAAGAAGGTCCACATGTCCAGCACCGAGCTCCAGCGTCTGGGAAGCATCCAGGCCCAGGAGGCCTCGCGTCGTCTCTCCAAGAGCCAGTAATCGCCTCAACCCCCCCTGTGGGTTTTTTTACGCGCTATAGACAAAATGGTCCGGCAAATACAAAAGCCTGGGCCGACACTCCCTCACGCATTCGCATCATCCTTCCGACTCTCCTACGCCACTTCCATCATCCACGCATCATACATGTTCCCCGTTCCTTGGTTGCTATAGTATTGGTTTACAGAATTTTGCGCGGTCGAGTGTGTGTCATGTGCATCTTTATGAGCGCTCAATGAGGCATTCTTTGGTTGAGTGATTGCGGTCGAGCGCGAGTGGGCAGGTTCGGGGTTTGATTGGGCTTTGTACGGGGTTGGTCTTGTCGAGACATGGGTGGTTTTGCGTTCGACAGGGTTCTGTGGCGATCGAGTGTGTGCGCTTGAGCTGGGATGCTCTGTCTCGTAGTCGGAGCGGCGAGGGTCGCGTTTGTCTTGCGGTCGAAGCTTGGTCGCGGCGTGCGGTCGAGCGAGCGCGGCGAGTCTGCGCGAGTAGAAGCGTACCCACCTAGGACACACACGAAACCGAAACCTGGCGACTGACCCCGAGGAAAACGAAGACCAGAGACTTGCGGCATACAAAAACAGGCCGCCCCCTCAGCTGGACCCTCGACAGCGAGTAAGAGCTAACAGCACGCCAGCCTCGACGCTACACACCCACACTGACGAGGCAACCTTGATACAGCGAGACAAGGGGCTCTGTTGGGTGCGTGAGGATGACACAGGCGAGCGAGATCCCGATGATATCGTGCCGAGGGTTGGCTCGCTTCAAGGAGAACACGGGCTTGATCACAGCTAGACAGAGCTGCACAGGCGATTGAACACGGCGCTCCACAGCGATGAGCAGGCCGGGTCGGACAGGTGACCCAGCATCCTGGTGTGACGAAGCGGTAGCGTGACACTGCCGAAAGGCGACTCGATGGGCGGTACGACGCTGATGCAGCTGCAGAACCGTTCGAGCGACGAACCAGACGGCAATGTCGCAGCCGGAGACGACACAATGACACCATGCAGAGAGACGGCACGATGGTGGTACCGCGCAACAAAAGGTCCGACGTCAGAAGAGACACGATCAAGAGACGATGACGCAGAGCGGGCAAACGACTTGATTTGACAAAGACACGGTCTCGAGACAGCTGGACAGCGTTCGTTCAGGCAAAATGACGTGACAATGCGGGGAGACGGCTCATTAGATGGTACGGCGCGAACGAGATCTCGACGACACGTGAGAAGGCTCATTCGTAGTGCGAGCGCATAGTCCAGTGGCGAGCCACGGAACAGAGCGGAGAGGTCCGATGAGTAGTTTGACTCGAGGCCGAGCTCCGACCGCACGAGCGATCTGGACTTGACACAGGTCCGAGAAGGTTCCAGTGGCGGCAATGGTTCAACGCGGGCAGAAGCAGCGCTGTTGAAGCGGAAGCGGGTCTCATGGCGGACCACAAAGCGCTGCCAATGCTTCGTTGAGATGGGATGACACAATCTCGGGGAGCGAGAACGTTCGAATCGCGGGAAGTGGTTCTCAATGAGACAGGTGGACGCAAAGCGGCGATCTTGACGGCATAGCTTGAAGTTTCGACGCTCGCCAAGGCGATCCAACGCTGTGGCTTGCAAGTTTTCCTGCTAGGCGACTGTTTTCCTGCTAGGCGACTGCCACTTACGATGACCGATTGCTAAGCGCATGCCACCGACGCTATTGCCGACGTTGCCACCTGCACCAGACAGTCGGTGGCAACAACTACGCGCCTTGCTTGATCAGCGTGATGGTGCGCGGCGATTTAGTCGGTGTCGCTTGACGTTGACTCGCTAGGCGAGGACCCGAGCGCGCGGTGCCGAGTCAGCTGGACGGCATGGCTTGCGCGCGCTGGCTCGCCTGGCGAGTGCCACCAACGACCTCGCAGAATGCACGGAATCAAGGGTACTCTCGAAGCGCGCCTCCGTTGAACGGCAACAGGCGCCGCGCATGATCGAGACCGGCGACTGCCATGACGTTTGAAGTGGCGCTTGTGTTAAGCGGATAGCCGGCTTAACGAAGGTCCGGAGCAGAGGGAGTCTCACCTTTATCCAAGCCACAGTAGAAGGCTGTGGCTGGAGAAGGTCGCTCCCCTAAAACGTCTCGGCAGCCTCATCAGGAAGGTCCCGCGATCGACTACGCGTCGAACGTGCATTCAATCCACTAAGCGGACTTGTGCCATGACGCGCACTCGAGTGTATGCGCTCCTGGCATGATGTGGGCCAGCCCTTTGCTCGTCAGAGTCCGATCTTGACGCCAGGAACGCAGCGGATGAAGGTGTTCCCAAGGTTGAGTCTCACCCTCCCTCCAAGACCTGAGCGAAAGGATAAAGTTGAGGACCGAGGTGTTCCATCGGCTAGACGTGCAAACCCCGCGCTCTGCCTAGCGCAAACTGTGTTGTCGTGGTGCGCACTCGAGTGTATGCGCTGTCCTTTGGATATGACGGAAGGGACGTTCCCAAGGTCGAGTTTCACCGCTCGCACCGAGACTGGAGGACGAGACAGCGGCCGGACTCCTTCGCTGGCCAGGGCCAAGTCTCACCATCTGATCACCCGGCAGAACACAGAAGCCGGAGCACTCCGTTCCTAAGGGCAAGATTTTCAGCATCGCTGGCTGACCCTAAGCACGAGGATGAGGATGGAGATCGGCTATGAGGTCAAACGCGCTAAGGGCAAGACATTTGGAGCGGAGCGAAACAGGCTCGAGGCCACCAGGCCACACGAGCTCTGTGGTGCGGTCGACAGGCCCGTCGTCATGTCTCGGCTGTGTGAGCGAAATTAGAGAAGCTGTCGAGGATGGCACATAGAACGTCTCTCTCTTGGCAATGAGTCTCTCCACGGCTTCTTTTTTAGCGCGGGTTTCTCCACCCGGTTCGCGTAGAGCCCCAAGTCACCGGATGGAAGGTGTTGTCGTCGATGAGGTGGCGACCGCATGTGCTGGACTACAGAAGCACCAAGCCACCAACATACTACGCCCAGCGGTGCGTGGCACACAACCAGTTCGCGCCGCGCTGCTGCCAAGGATTGCCAGACAACCACGCAGATGTGCGCGGCAAGCCCAAAGACCGAGGCGGAGTTGCAATTCGCCTCAACGATCTGCCGTCGATGTTCGCAGAGAGCTGTCTCGGCTGTCTCAAATTTTTCTCAACCCTCTGTCCCAAGACCCTAAGTTATGACGATAAATCTGCATGCGGAGTATGGAAATGGCTTTCGCTCTCCTTTGACGTGTGGGTCGACCTGCCTGCCATGCTGCCGTTCCGTGAGGTGTTGTGCACGTCTGACGACGGTGAGACATGCGGGATTTGGGGTCAGATGCTCGCTAAGCTGGTCAGGGCCAAGCTTGGCAGGTCGACGTGCGACGAGCGCGGGGAGAGGTGCAGGATTGCTCCATATGCAAAGTCGGTGAACAGCGGATGCGTGGCGGTTTGACAGCGCATGAGAGCGAGCTTTTGAGCTCGTTTGTACGGTGTCCTTCGCAGTGTGGCTTTGCTCGAGAACAGCAGAAGGACACCGGACGATCCATACATGGGGTCGATCAGGATATAAACAACCCCCTCGTCGAGGTCGGTATAGTATCGCAAACCATCCCTCATCTCAGGTCCCTTCCTCACCCCAAGCACACTCTCTCCCTAAGCCAACACCTCATCCTCACTCGCCATGAAGATCACTACCACTTTCGCCGCGGTCGTCGGCGCCCTTGCTGTCCTCGCTCCCCTCACTTCTGCCGCCGCGGTGGCTCCTCGCGACAGCGTCGCCGCCCAGGTCGACAACCTTGAGGCTCGCTCGCAGACTCCGAGCCAGGCAGCTCGCCAGCGACTTGAACAGGCCAAGAAGGCGGCGGCGGAGGCCAAGGCCCGCGCCGAGGCAGCCGCTCGCCGCAGGAAGAAGAACCGCAAGTCGAGCAAGCTCCCCAGCGCCACCACCCCCCTTGCTCGTGCCGTCACCACCTCCACCAAGGCTGCCACTTCCACCAAGGCTGCCACCACCAGCAGGGCCGCCTCCAGCAGCGTCCGGGCCACCACCACCACCTCTGCCAAGCCGGCCACTACCACGAGCACGAACACCACATTCACCAACTTCCAGAACGACATTCTCAGCATCCACAACGTCGACCGAAAGCTTCACTCGGCTTCCCCCCTTGTCTGGGACTCGACCCTTGCCGCCGCCGCTGCCAAGTGGGCTGCCGGCTGCAAGTGGGCCCACACGCCCAACAATCCATACGGCCAGAACATCGCCGCCGGCACCTGGGACACCTTCGGTGCCAAGGACACGACGGACCTCTGGTACGACGAGTGGAAGCTATACAACTACTCCAACCCAGGGTACAGCGAGGCCACGGGTCACTTTACTCAGATGGTATGGAAGGGTAGTACGAAGCTCGGATGCGCGATCCAGAAGTGTGGCGCACAGCAGATCGGCCTCGGGGGATACGGCAGTAACACCGCCAACTATGTTGTTTGCAACTACGACCCCCCTGGAAACTGGATCGGCGAGTTCGCGCAGAACGTCACCCCAAACTAGACGGACGGGAGCTTCGATGGGACGTATAGAGATACTTGTTCAGGTCGGGCCAGGCCGCTTTTGCCTTCAGCCCCCACGATGTCGCTGGTCGGCGGTACGCAGCATCATTCGGTCTGGGTCGCGTTTTGTGTTACGGTTTGGATTCCTCGCAATGTGATTCGTTTGTCTTAGTATGTAGATCGTGTGCCAGACTTGAGATCAAGGACCTTTCGAGATTGACTGGCTGTCAAGGATGGCACAATGTGGTAGCAGATGCTTTCAGAGCGTTGAGACAGCAGGGCGGTCTGCCGCGAGCCGGCTGCGATCTTGCTTTCGGACGTCTAGAGGTGAAAATGGCTGCAAACCACGTGGCAGCGACTGCAACGAGCAACGCGCACTGCTGTAAAGTCACTGTGGAAGCGCACCTCGTCTGCGTGACTCCATTCTCCTGGTGGAAGCGCATGCGGTGGTGGAGCGCCACGCTCGAACCTCTCGAAGCTTGCATCAACGCTTTCGTGCGTTGACGCCAGAATCGTCTAACACGATGGCTGCGTTCGTCGGCCCGAGTCAACGTGAACGTCTTGGTGGGGTGCGGTAGCGTTAGCCGGCTCGCGAGCGACGATGTCGAGAAGAGCAATTCTCATGTGAGGGGAGCGCTTTAAAGACAGGTGTCCCTTTATCTACACTCGCTGCTCCTTCGCCCACTTCAGGGCACATTAGCTGCTTTCCTGTCCTGCGCCAGCACCGCACCTGCCCGGCTTCGACTTTCAATCTCCATATTCGCAGTCGGCTTCGCGTCCAAGGGATGTCTGATATATGCTACCACCATCTCGTACACTTCTGACACCTTGAACCCTGTCCAAGATCCTTCGGAATTCACGGAAAAGCATCATCCAAAGTTCGGCAAAAAAAAAGGCCAGCCGAGCGAAAGGAGCCCTGTGCCGTGCCGCTGTGCCTGGAGGCTATTTGAGAGCTCCGCTTCGCTTAGGCGAAAGCATTCATGCCCCGCCGACGACCTTTGATCCCGTTGGAAGGCGGCTATTCACCACCACATCTGTCGATGCAGCCTTCGCTGTCGGACGCGCAGCAGCGAATGGAGTCGCATTCGCACTTGCGCGCTCCTGACTCCAGCAGCGTCGAGGCTCTTGACGGTCAGGTCCGAAGACGCGGTCGTTCGCTATCTTCGAGTCTTCGCCGACTGTATCAACACTTTTGTGCAACTCGTTCGGTCACGGTCAAGTCGGGCAAGGCTCGTCCACCTTCATTTGCACCGCCTGTCCTCGCTTCCACTCCGTACGCCAACAGCAGCTACTCGACTGTATCTGCCTCGCCAAGGAGCTGGTTCTCGACCTCATCAACTCGGTCGAGCAGCTCGACAGGATCCGCATCGTCCTCAGCCTTGTCACTCGTCTTCCCGTTGGATCCAGGATTCGAGCTCGAACTTGGAATCGCACTCGAGATGGCGCCGCACGAACTTGGCTCCGCGTGGAGTCACGACTCGTACAATGCGATGCAGTATCTGCGAGCTCGGACACCTTACCCACCCACCATGACAGACACGGCCTTTGACTACCACGAACAGCACCCCGGCACGTCGAACAGCAACGATCGGTGGCAGTCGGCTCTCGAGATCGGCTGCGGGCCCGGGCAGATGTCTATCCATCTCGCTACACGTTTCGGCAAAGTATACGGTCAAGATCCATCGCCAAATATGCTCAAGCTGGCCAACACGGTGAAGCACATGTCGGCGGAAGAGCTGGCCGAGGTGCGTCTGCCTCCAGTCAAAGATCCGAATCGAATCGAGTTCCTTCAGGCTCGGGGAGAGGCACCAGTGCTACCTGAGGAGGAGAAGGTGGACCTGATCATGATGGCGGCATGCATACACTGGATGGACTGGGAGACGCGCGAGTCGACGCTGGCCAATTGGACCAAATGGGCGTCGTTGCTCAAGCCGGGTGGCACGCTGGTGGTGACGGGCGGTCGACCGGTGATTGGTCCCTATACTGGCGAAAAGGGCGACCAGATCCGACCGCTTCGTGACTGGCTGCTCGACTTTCCCCTCAACTACCCGGACATCGATCGGTACTACGGCACTTCGAAGATGGTCAAAGATCTGCGCAGCGGTGGGCTATATCGCAAGCTGCCAATGCCTTGGGAGCACAGCAAAGAGCTGGAGGCGCTTTGGGATCGCCACTCGTACTGCTGGATCCCCGTCGACGACTGCACGGTGTTGGGAGAGCAGGCGACCTCTTCACGCTTGTCAAAAGTGGACGATCCTGAGCGATTCGCTCATATGATCAGCCATCTGCCCGACTGGATCCGACCGAGCGTACGTCGTGCTGCCAAGTGCGACGATTCCGAGGGCGACCTGGTGGTCTCGATGACCACACCGCGCAAGATGGCGGACTGGGTGAGATCCACTTCGGGCTATCTCAAGTTCCTGCAGGACAAGCCGGAGCAGCGCATGCTGAGCCTGCAGGATCAAGACTTTGCTGCGGTGGAGCTGCAGAAGGTGTGCGACAAGATTGGCATCGAGTTTGATGCTCCGATCGAGTGCCACCATTCGGGTGCTGTGCTGTGCATTCGACGCACTGACAAGGAGTGTTGATAGATCGCTTCTTATAGGCTTTGTGAAGCCGTTCTCGTTCTCTAACGTTGGCTTATTTGTTGCTCTTCGTCTCTTTGCCTCTGTATCGCAGTAGTACTCTCGCATTTCATCTCGTCTAATCACAATTGCATAGCTAAGTCGTCATGGTCGGCAGAAGCGAAAGGAGCAAGGCTGAGTCGGTGATGGTGAGGAAAGAAGGCTCTAGGCGCGTCCGAAGGTGAAGATGCAGGCAGCACAACGCGACTTGGCGAGTTTTTTTTCATAAGAAGCTTTGCTGAACCCTTTTTGACGCTCGACGTGGAGGCATTCACTTTCTTGCGGGTCACCCGAACATTCCTACGCCCTTCCTCGTCTCATTCGACACTATCTTCTCGCCGAACGCTGGTAGTGACGACGCCCGGAGCTACCGACGACCAGTCAGACTAGGCTGACGAGTCCGATCCGCTAGAGCCGACTTACTAAGCGCGGAAGCGAAGGTCTCGGTCTACTCCCTTGGCGCACTTCCATCGTCACATTCCCACGCCATCGTATGACCATCCGATCCGTCACCGAGTAGCGGGGCAGCGACGGCCACGCCGACGCTTACGATGATACCGCAGATCAGCTCGAGACAAGCCTGAAGTCTTTGTCGGCACGCATCCAGCCTAGTCAGCTCGACACTTGAATCTATCGATCCCACGGTCAGCCAACATGCCGTCCGCAACGCTACCCACGCCTGACCAGCGAGCAGCGCAGTCGGCGCTTCTGCCCGTCGGGGCCGTGTGCGAAGTCATCGACAGCAAGACCGGCGAGACATATGCAGCCACCGTGCTCTCACGTCGAACCGGCAGCTCCTCCACCCCACCAGCTGGTCGAGCCGAGACCGACAACGTCCAATACTACATCCACCGACATGACCAAGACAAGCGCATGGATGGCTGGGTCGACCATACTCATCTTCGACCTATTTCTACACCCTTAAACACAGACGTAAAGCTGAACACAGCTTTGCATTCGATCAAGGACCTCAACGGATCAGGTCCGTCCATCAACACACCTCCGCATCTGATCGAGAAGGGCAAGAGGAAAGCGGACGATCTCACCCATGATGGAAGCGACGGCAGCCGCACCCCCTCGGGCAGCAGACAGGCTTCTCCCGCCCTACACGATCGAGCCGCAGGCCGCGGAGCAAGGCACAAGACCCGCGCATCGTCTCCATCGGATACTCCGGCAATGAGGAACATCGACCGTGTTCTGTACGGCAACTACGACATCAAAACTTGGTACTACAGCCCTTTCCCGCTCGATCAGGACGAGGAGGGAGCCGAGGGTTCAGCTGCTCATTCAACGTCCTCGCATGCGGCTGCAAGCCTCGCCAGTAGCAAGCGCAATCAATCGCCTGCAACGAAGCGCTTGCCTCGCAGGGACAGCGCAGGTAGCCTTGGTGGGGCGTTGTCTACGTCGGTTCGGGATGCACCCGCGATCAAGTCACTCGCAGCGAACGCGGCATCGGAAGCGGTCTCAACGTCCGGAAGGCATTCTCCCGCATCGGCTTCGCCCAGCGTTGTCCGAGGAAGAAAAGAGCTGGTGCCCACCAAGATGCTCTGGATCTGTGATGGATGCTTCAAGTACATGAAGACCTATAATGGCTTTGCAGCTCATCGAAAGTTCTGCCGCAACACTCATCCTCCTGGTCGCAAGGTCTACCAGCGCGGCGCTCACATCATTTGGGAAGTCGACGGTGCCGCCGAGAAGCTCTACTGCCAGAACCTGTCGCTCTTCGGCAAGCTCTTCATCGATCACAAGACCATCTATTTTGATGTGGAACCCTTCATGTTCTACGTGCTCACCGACGCCGCTAATGCCTCGTTCGATCATCCGCTTGGATTCTTCTCGAAGGAGAAGGTCTCCTACGATGACTACAATCTCGCCTGCATCGTCACTTTCCCACCTTTCCAGCGCAAGAGCTTCGGTACGCTGATGATCGAATTCTCCTATTACCTCTCGGCAGCACAGGGGATGCTCGGAACCCCAGAAAGACCCCTGTCGGATCTAGGCTTCAAGGGCTACTTGTCATTCTGGACAGCGGTGCTGCTCCGAGCTCTGCATTGCTGCTTCGATGGCCCGCTGCGACGAGTCAATGGTACCAGCACGACGAGACAGCGTGGACCTTCGTCGCCTGTCAAGCCGGCCATCGATGCAAGCGTGCAAGACAGCAAGGTCAACGCAGAGGACGCACTTCGACGGTGGCACATGCTCTCGCAACGCTGCAAGCTGCTCGGTGTGTCCTTGGAGTCCATCTCGCATCAGGCCGGATTCGTAGAGTTGCAGCAATTAGCGGCCGAGGCCGATACTTCGGATGCGATCACGAATCCAGGCCCATCTGCAGGATCGCACAGGCGAAAGCTGCGGCTCAAAGGGTGGGCCGGAAGCGTACCAAATCGATCGCCTCGTCAGCGCGGCGGGCAGAACGGCGTCTCCGAGAGCGCAGCCGAAGGGGAAGGAGCGACGAGGCGCTCTTCGAGATCAGCAGCCAACGGATCCGCTGCGTCCGCGGCCGGGCAAGATGCGCCCGTTCATCCAGCTTTGGATCTCCAAAAGTTGCAAGAGGAGGAGGACGCGACGTGCACGATCGCTGTAACGGTCGATTCGCTGTCGCGACTCACACATCTGCGCGCCGACGATATCGTCCTGGCACTGTCCGAGGCAGGCCTGCTCGACGCGCCCGACATGCCCTTCTTGCATGCTACGGATGACGCTGTCCAGCTAAACGGCGCGAGCAATCTCAACGGCAGTTCCGAAGCCAAGCCGGCGAACGGAGAGGCGGCATCGAACAATCAGAGCCTGGCACTGCTGCTCACCCGCGACGCAATCCGTGAAGTCATCGCCAGGTTCAACGTCCGTCCTGCTGTCCTCGACGAGTCGTACGCGCTTATCTGATGTCGAACACACACATGCATATCACACCTTACCGCATACAAACGGGTCACACTTTTCTGCTGCAAATACTTGCATTGCCCGTGCTGCGTGTCTTCACTTGTTGGCTCCTCGCCTTTCCAACCGAGCCAGGCTTTCGGCAGCCTTGGTCTTTGCAATAGCGAACGTAGGGCCGCCGATCTTGTCTGCCAGCGCGTAGGCCTTCTGGAAATAGAGTCTTGCTTGGCATTTGTCGCCGGCCATCTGATGGTGTCGATTGAGTTCGAAGGTCGAAGTTCGAGGTCAGCACTAGTTCCAACCCAAAATGAGGTGATTGTGGTACTTACGTCGCTCAACACGCCCAAATTGTACAGAAGTGTCAGCTTGACGCCCAGACATTCCAGTCTCACCTCCTGCGTCCTCTCATCCGACGACTGGACCAACTCCGTCCCCTTCTTCGCTTCCACCTTCTCAAAGCCGGCCATCTGCACCGTGCGATCGGTGATATCGAGACCCTTGCTCGCCCATTTTGTCGCATCCTTGACGTTGCTCCCCGCCAGCAGCTGGGAGAGGTTGTTCATCACCAGTCCGGCTTTACACCTCTCACTCGCCGTCGGGGAGGCGGACGTCGAGGGCGGTAGGAGGATCGAAAGCGTTTGCAGGTACAGTGGCACAGCGTATTCAGGGAGACCTTTGGCGGCGTAGAAGGTGCCGAGGGATTCGATGGATGCGAGGAGATCAAGCTTTGTCACCCAGGCGGGAAGGTCGAGGTCGGCCAACGAGATCGATGTTGGTGGGGTGATGGGGTTGAGTTTCGCCTTCGGTGCCGATGCTGAAGCGTCGGAAGATGGAGCGTCGGCGGGAGTGGCGGCGGCGGCGAGGGCAGAGGCGTGGACATCAGCGGGCAGCACGAGACGGAAGAGCTCCTCGACGCTCCACACCAGCCATCGTTCGGCGGGATCTTGCGACTCTGCCGTTCCCGTCAGGGCGAATTTGAACTTCTCCCCACCCTCATCGCCGACAGATGCCAGCTTGGCCTTCTCCAATAGCGCAACGCGGACCTCGGGCAATTGACCCAGCTGACCCAGCTTCTGCGCAATCTGCACCGCACGCATTCGATCCCTCTGGCCCCGCTTCCACTCACCCTTCTCCGCAATCACACCCTCATATTTCCCCCGCTCCATGATCTCATCCCACACATCCTCGAGCACCGCATAGCTCTCCTCCACCCTCCCTTCTCCCTCCAGCAGTGCAGCGAGTGCGATTGCGATACCAGAGATCTTGAGCATCGCCTCGCCCTTCTCCCCCGGGTCAGCACCCTTAGGCGTGGGCGTAGCCTCATTCAGCTCACCCTTGATCCCGCGTGCCGTAGCGAGAGCTTTCCGGAAGTACGACTCGGCCCTACGCACGTCTCCTCGGTTCCGCGCCTTGAGGGCTGCACGCAGGTCATCCCGGATCGACACGGGCCAGGCGGAGAAGGACGTGTAGTACTCGTACAGGCCGTAGCCGGTGACGGCGACCGCGAGGGCGATCAGCGAGGTGAAGAGTGTTCCGACACGGACAGCGTTGGGACCAGAGGTGGGGCGCGGCTTGAAGCCTGGGGTGGTGACGTTGCCGACGCTGGTGCTTTTTGTGGGTGTGCTATTGCGGGTGAGAGGAGTGGTTGAGAGCTGCCGAGAAGCCGGAACGAGCGCTCGTGCGCGAAGAGGGTGCTGCGCGAGGAGCGTTGGCCGAGCCAGCGCTCGCCGCGCGGTAGGTGTAGTGGCTCTGAGTGAGGCCATCTCGGGCGTCGTCTGATGTCGATCGTTTGAAGATGATGGTAGCGAGGGTTGTGTCGAAGAGGCTAAGAAGGATGAAGCCGCTGACATGAAGCACTGAGCGCTTCTTCTCGATTTCTCCACTTTGCGGCAAAATCGACCGATTTGAGAACCCAGAGATCGCCGATGAGGGTCGGACATGCCCGAAAACATCAGAATCTTCTCAACGTGGGCCGAGCTTCCGAGCCTTATCCTGTTCCCCACAGGCGTACGGGGCCCAGCGTCAACCTTCCAACATCACCATCACCATCACCATCTCGCATACAAGCAGCATCGTGAATATGTCCGCCGTCACACAGGAATCGCTCGCCTCGGCGATCCAGTCGCTCCTCTCGTCCCTGCCCAGCTCGCTCGATGCGCTGCCTCCCATCTCGCCCGCCCCGGCGCTCCCCACCACGAGCGCCGAAGTCGCCGCGCTGATCGACCACACGCTCCTGGCACCCAACGCGACGCTCGATCAGATCTCCGCCGTGTGCGATGAAGCCAAGCAGTACAAGACCGCCACCGTCTGTGTCAACTCGTCCATGATCCCGTACGTTGCCAAGCACCTCGCTGGCACATCTGTCAAGCCAATCTCGGTGATCGGCTTCCCCTTTGGCTCGGCCAACACGCCGTCCAAGGTGCTCGAAGCCCGCATTGCCTGCGAGCAGGGAGCACGCGAGATCGATATGGTCAACAACATCGGCCTCCTCCGCTCGGGACACTATCTCGAGGTCCACAACGACATCGCCGAGGTTGCGACCGAATGCAAGAAGCACGGCGCCAAGCTCAAAGTCATCCTGGAAACCGCGATGCTGACGAAAGAAGAGATTGTCGCAGCGAGCTACCTGGCCTGTTTGGCGGGAGGAGACTTTGTCAAGACCAGCACGGGCTACGGCGGCCCCGGCGCAAAGGAGGAGGATGTTCGACTGATGTACGAGGTAGCCACACGGGAAGGACTGGGATGGAAGGGGACGGAGAAGGAGGTCAAGGCAAGCGGTGGAGTGAGGTCGCTCGAGACTGTGCAGAAGATGGTCAAGGCGGGAGCGACCAGGGTCGGCGCCAGTGGGACTAGGGCTATTGTCGAGCAGATGAGCGGCGCAGCGGCGCCGGCGGAGGGCGGATCGAACTACTAGAGTCCGTCAGTGTCAAGGTGATCGTTTAGATTGAAGCGTGTCTACAGCTTGGATGCGAGTGTCAATGTGTGTCGCCCGGATCCTGCGGTTCTGATTCCAGCATGATGCTTGTCGCCTTCCGAAACCCACTGTCTAACGCTCTCGATGAGCCGATCGATGTCCTCCGTCGTGTTGTCCGCATGAACGCAGACGCGCACCCGGTCTTCCCCCTTGGGTACTGTCGGATAGCAGATGGGGCGTGCCAGCAGGCCGCTCGCCCTGAGGTGGGCGGCGAGATCTCTAGCTTCTGCCGTCAGCAATGGAATGATCGGCGAGGGCTGCTGCATGGACCATGCTACGAAGTCGTCCTCCCCTTTCCCTGCATTTCGAGGTTGTTGGGACGGCTTGAGATGCGGTGGCAGTGCAACACTTCTCCTCGCCCCACTTCTTCGCGATCGGATGACGGCTTCGATACCATCTACCAGTCTTCTCGAGTTGCTGAAGGTCTTCCTTGCCGCCAGCTCGGCAGTGCCGTCCTGGATCGAGTTGAACGAGGCCAAGATCGACGCGAGCTGTGGGTATCCGAGTGCCGTACTGAAGATGAGCGGTCGAGCGTAGTTGATGAGGTAGTGACGCGCCACCTTGCTGCAGAGCACAATGGCTCCCGAAGCGCCCCATGCCTTGCCGAAAGTCATCAATCGTGCTGCGATTCTGGGATCATCCTGCAGTCCCAGAGCGTTGACGAGACCCCGACCGCGCGAGCCATACAGCGCAGTCGAATGCGCTTCGTCGACGACAGCACAGATGCGCGCATCCTCGACGTACTCCGACATGGTATCCAGCAGCGCGCGCAGAGGGCACACGTCACCGTCCATGGAATAGACACTCTCTACGGCCAGCCAAACATTCCTTCCGCTCCCTGTGCTGCTCGAGCCAGCGCTCAGCGTTCCATCGTTCCTCAGACCGTTCAAGATCTCCCGGAGGTGATCCACTGAGTTGTGCCGGAATGCGATCCGAAGGTGACCTGGAACCCGCGATCGCCGCAGCCCATCATGCACCGAAGCGTGGACAAGCTCGTCGTAGATAACCACGTCCTTGGGTTGAGGTAGCGTGCTCAGCAGTGAGACATTGGCCTCGTATCCCGAATTGAAAAGCAGACCTGCACTGGACGAGGCAAAGTGCGCTGTGAGATCGCGCTCGATCGATTCGTGGATGGAGGAGTTGCCGTCGAGCAGGCGCGATCCCGCGCTGCCGAGTTGGGACGAAAGGGCCGTGTTAGAGGTGACGATGGAGACAAAGTCAGAGCGAACGCGAGAGGAGGTTGCGAGGCTGAGGTAGTCGTTGCTCGAAAAGTCGACAAGCGGTGGTTGGCTGGAAGTGGAAGCGATGGAAGAGGAGGAGGAGGGGACGGTGGGGTAGACGGTGAGCTGCCGAAATGTGCCTTTTGCCGCTCGTCGGTCGAGCGCTGATTGGAGCTCGTCGTCGAGCATCGTGTAGTACTGTGCTGATTCTATCGAGGAATGATGCGTCTATGGTGTAAGCAGAAGGAGGTCTCGCTGCGTTGGTGATGATGATGATCAGATATGGACCCCTGATTGTTGGGCTGCCTAGATTTGGGAAGAAAGGAAGAAGCCGGGGATTTGGCCGGCTGAGCAATTTTTCAAGATGTTGGATCTTTGTGGCACACAAAATGTTGAAATTGCTAGCACGTTGTCATGGCTCAGTCAGGAACTGACGGTGTGCTGCTGCTGCACTCAACCCTTTTTACTCCACCTTGGAGGCGGCTGGCTCGAGAGCACAGCATTCGGCCAAAACGAGTGAGTTGTGCGTCTGTGCTGTGCTGTGCCGTTCTCCTCAGTCACCGTCGGACCCTGAACGACTGGTATCGTAGCGCGTCACCGACAGATGATGGCTCTCACTCCAAGTCTTGGCTCTTGACACTCTCGAGATTGTGCTCATCAATCTTCTGCTACCATAACAAAAGCTCGCCCAGAATCTTTCAAGGCCTTCGCGGGACAGAAAAGCCGACCGCGAATCGCCCTGCTCGCACGGATCCTCGCTTCTGGTTGCAGACGCGGCGGCCTTCCCTCCTCGATTGGTGGGCTCGAGACGAGACATCCGGAACGAGCCTTCTACGCTCAGTCGTCACTCAACGCATCGATCCATCATGAGCGCGACGACGGGCTACGACGCCGCCTTCGCTTCGGCGGGCACATCACTTGCCCCGGCGCCTCTCGACGATGGCGATGCCATCATCTCCGGCAAAGCTGCACGCGCAAGCATACCTGGCCTCGAGAATGCATCTCACCCATCAGCACTCACGCCGCTGCGAGCTCACTACCTCAAAAAGACGCTCATCCGTTTGCAGATGGAAAGGGAAGTCGCTCAGCTCAGCACCAAGGACGCCCTCTCCACCTTTGGCCCCCCCTTCCGCGCCTCACCAGAAGCTCGAAGAACCGATCTGCCGCTACTCCGCTTCATGTTTCAGCATTTCGTCCTCACTTTTCCCTTCCTGCGATCAGCGCCCTCCAACTTCTTCGCAGACAAGGTGCAGGTCTTCTTTGACAAGTTTCTCGAACGCAACATCAGCGGTACCGACGATCGAGACGAATCTACGAAGCGACGCAGACTCACCAACAAGCTCGAAAAGTACTTTGTGCTCCTCATGGGCTCGGCCATCAAGGTCAAAGGCATCGGCGAAGATGTCGTTCGCATATCCGAGAGAGACCGCACAAAGATGGATGCCGTCGAATCGCGTCGCAAGGCTGCTTTGGGCAGAGCCGCGGGTTCTCGCAGAGATAGCGAAGACGACGCAGCTGGCTCGTCTGGCTTCGACATCAATGTCGTCTCAGTCCGCAACGTGGTGACGAAGGGAAGGATCCGCAGCCGTGCTCACGAAGAGTTTATCATCCGCACACGGAGAGGCTATGGCCAGCCCGACATCTACGTCTCGCGCCGATACGGCGACTTTGCCAAACTTGCAGAGACGCTCCGGGTGGAATACCCGGACGAGGGAATCCGACCGCCACCAGCCAAGGACCGCAGCAACACAGACGTAGCCGATCCATATCGCAAAACACCCGCAGATGCAGCAGCGACGCACTCAAACGATGGCCACGCAGATCCACGGGGCTCAACAGAGTCTACCGGTTCGCAGTCGCGCATCGCCATGCCAACCGGTCCGCTCGCCAGAGAAAAGAATCGTCTCACACTGCGAGCCTATCTGCGCTCGCTTCTTGCCAGTCCATCCGTAGCCGAAAGCGCGGTCCTCATGGACTTCCTCACAGCCGAACCCACCCGGCTCACCCCTGCCGAGGAGGAAGACGCAGCCATCCGAGAAGGCCTCGACCACGTTCGTGAAGAAGAGCACAAGCGTTTCTCAGACGAAGCCGCTAGACGTGCGCAAGAGCTGCAGGCGCACCTCAAAGAATTCAAGCAGGACTTGGTACAGCACGACGGCCTCACCCGCATCTTTGCTACCATCAAATCCACACCGCGCATTGAGGATCTTCCCGAAAAGTACAAAGCGCTGGTCAAGTGGTCGCGCATCAGCCTTGCCTCCACCATCTTCCACATCTTTATGGGCAGCGACAACTCGTCCGAGACCTTTTCGCAGATGAAACGCATGCACGGCATGATGCCCTACTTCATGCTCCGCGGCATCCTCCGCATATCCAATCCCATGCTCATGGTGCGAGGCGTGCTCGACATCTTCCTCGCCCGACCTTTCGGCTCGCAGAGTCTTTTGCAACGCATGTTCTCGAGCAGTCTGCAGGACGAGGTGCGCGAACTGGACGAAGTGTGTACTGCCATCACGACCAAGGTGGACGATGCAACCATCTGCGAAAAGGTTCGCCAGTTCGTCTATGCGCCCGCCGAGGTTCAGGCCATGTATCGCAAGGATGCAGAGGAGGAGCGTCTCGATCTGCTTACCTGCATCCTACGCTCGCCCGAAGCACCCGCTCTTGACAGGTCCCAGATCCACCGTGTCGTCAGGGCAAGTCAAGCCTACGAGGTGTACAAGGAGTACCGAAGAGGCCTCAAGAACCCTGACCTGGAAGACGAAGGTCCTCAGGACGACGATGCCTGGCTGTACGAAGATCTGCACGTGCTCGTCAAGATGCTCACTCGCAAACGCGACAAGGAGCAGATGATCTCGCTCATCTTTGAGGGCGTCACCGCCGAGCTGCTTAAGGACATGGTCACCATCTTCTACTCTCCGCTCGCCCAAGTGTACAAGCTAGCCAACATCGCCGACAGCCTGTCGGATCTGCAAGCGTTCATCACCGACCTCATCAAGACGGTCGAGGCCAACGAACAGCTCAGCTACACCGACCCGACACGGACCGTTCAGGTGTTTGTTGACCTGGTCGAGAGGCACGAGGGGCGCTTCTACAACTTCGTTCACCAGGTGCATTCGAAGGGCTCTGGCTTGTTCGACGGGCTCATGCACTGGATCGAGCTTTTCATCAATTTTGTTCGTGGCAATGAGCGGTCCGCGGAGGCAGTTTCGCAATCCCTTGGCAGAAACTCTGCTGCTGACCAGGAGGTGGGCAAGCTGGGAGGCATCGGAGAGGTCGATCTGGAGATCTGTCTGCCTGCGGGAGGCGATGAGCGCAAGAAGGCGCTCGACGAGATCGACTCGCTGGTACTGTACGCCTATCGACTCAAGTTCCTGCGCGAGCTCAAATTGCGTCGCAAGCTCGCAGATCGCGAAGTCGCCGGTGTCGCAGGCAAGCTGATCGGCGCCGAGAAGAATCGAAGAACCGACGGTCTGACCGAGGAGGACGACTCGGCCTTCGTCGGCGCCATGGTCGACAATTTGGGGGTAGGCGACATCTTTACCGGAGAAGTGGCGGACGCCGAAGCGGAAGAGGACGAACTGGAGACGTCGGACGAGGACGATTCGGACGATGAGACGCATGCGCTCAGTGCGGCCAAGGATCGCAGGTTCTCGTCGAGCGACAGCGAAGTGTCCGCAGAGGAGGAAGAAGGAGAAGCGGCGCCGCGATGGAGACCGACACCATCTCGTCAGACCACTCTCACGCCTGGCAACATGGCGCACGCCAACAAGGACCTCCCCTCGCTGCCCCACAACGGCGTCGACGGAGAGAAGAGCAAGAAGCGTCGCAAGATTCCCGCTCCCAAGGCGCCCGAGCTCAAGGTGCTGCCGGAAATGCTGCCGCTCTTTGTCGAGATGGTCCGACCTCTGCTCCGCCCAGCAAGGACTGCGAGCGGGACGACTCACCGTTCGGCCAGCTACGATCCGTTCGTCGCCCAGGTTGGCGGACAACCACCCGCCCTGCGAATGCCGCCCACGGCAGCTGGCGGAGGAAGCGGTGCCGATCGACTGGCAGCAGGAATGCAAGGCATGGACCTGGCGTCGACGCAATCTCCGACGTCGTATGTGTCTTCGCCGTTTTCAACGCCGAGAGCGGACGGCAATCAGGGCAGCCGAGGTCAGCGTTCGGACCGGCTGCCTGGCGAGTATCAGTGGTGATCAAGAGGAATCGCAGTCATTGCTGTTGCTCGCAATTCTCTCGCATGCCTTTCCATCGTGTCTCAACGTGTGTCCCTGACTGTGTTCCTGGCCCAAGTCTTGTAGCATTCCAGCGTCGGCTGAGCTCAGAGCAACCCAGGATGCCGAGCACGGCCGGCGCGACACCATCAAGCTGTTGAATCTTGAACACCAACATCTTTTCGAAATCCGATCGGGGAAGATTGCGTGCTCGCAAGAGACAACTTTTTCTCCGTCTTCTGGCCGCTCTCTCTCGGCTCGGAGCTGCTTGGACTTTTTGAGATCTTCTCAAATTGACTTGACGCCCTGCAGTCATTTGGAGTCGAGCTCGTCACTCTCGACCATCATCCATCCTTCACCCCTGCATCAGACTACGCTCACAGCTGCACGGTCAAAGATGCACGCGATGCTTACCAACAGCATTCGGGCCACAGCGAGGGCGTCTCGCTCTCCCTTGAGTGGCGCTTCTCAGGCAACTCGATCGCTGGCCACAGTCTCGGACTCGCCCGTCCAGCATGGTGCCTCTGGATCCAACAGCCACAAGGTCGTCGTCATTGGAGGTGGCTCAGCTGGTATGGCTGTCAGTCACCAACTCGCTCGATCCGGTGGATTCGCTCAGGACGACATCGCCATCGTTGACCCCTCGGAATGGCACCACTACCAGCCCGGCTGGACGCTCGTCGGAGGCGGTCTCAAGGACAAGCGCGACCTCCGTCGACCCCTCGCGTCGCTCCTTGACCCTCAACTCAAGCACTACGCCTCCGCCGTCGACTCCTTCGCGCCAGAGCAGAACCAGATCACACTGGCCAACGGTGACAAGATTGCCTACGAACAGCTCGTCGTAGTTCCCGGTCTCAGCATCAACTACAAAGCCATCAAAGGTCTGCCAGAAGCGCTTGCCGACTCGTCTTCTCTCGTCTCGACCATCTACGGCTACGACACATGCGACAAGGTCTTCGACACCATCTCAAAGCTCAAGTCCGGAAAAGCCATCTTCACGCAGCCTGCGGGCGTGATCAAGTGTGCCGGTGCTCCTCAGAAGGCCATGTGGCTGGCGCTGGATCACTGGAAGAAGGCGGGTCTCTACAACCCTGCTGATCCCGCCAACTCGCCCATCTCGATCGACTTTGCCACGGGTCTTCCCGTCATGTTTGGCGTGCCCAAGTACAGCGAGCGTCTCAACGAGCTTCGTCAGCAGCGCGGCGTCGAGGGGCTCTTCCAGCACGACCTCGTCGCCATCGAGGGTAATGAGGCGGTGTTCGCTCGACCCGACGGCGCCGAGCAGGTGCGAAAGCAGTTCGATCTGCTCCACGTCACTCCGAAGATGGGGCCCTTGGCTGTAATCAAGGAGAGCCCGCTGGCCGATGGAGCTGGTTTCGTCGATGTGGACCAGGAGACGACGCGTCACAAGCGATTCGACAACGTGTGGAGTATCGGCGATGCATCGTCTCTGCCCACGTCCAAGACGGCTGCAGCCATCACGGCGGAAACGCCGGTGCTGGTGCGCAACCTCACACAGAGCATGCAGGGTAAGGAGCTGGACGCGGCGTACGACGGATACACCTCGTGCCCGCTGCTCACCGAGTACGGCAAGGTGATGCTGGCCGAGTTCAAGTACGGCGGTCAGCCTAAGGAGACGTTTGGCAGCCTGTTTGGCATCGATCAGGGTGTGCCCAGGACAGCGTTCTACCACTTGAAGAAGGACTTCTTCCCTTGGGTCTACTACAACTCGTACGTCAAGGGCACGTGGGGTGGGCCTAAAGGCTTCTCCTTCGCAGCCGCACCGCTGAGTCCTGAGGCTGTTGCTGGCAAGCGCACCTTCTCCTCGTCATCCCGAGCTCAGCTTCCTGGCTCTCGACGTGGGTTTGCAACATCGAGCGTCGGTCTGCGCAACACGCCCGCTCGCCGACCGCGCGACCCGCTCGATGCCTCCCCCGACGCCACACGCCACACGCTCCCCTCGGGCGAGACCTTCATCGTCCGCCCGCCTCCCTCCGCCACTCCCTCCAGCTCGACCATCTACCAACCCCAACCTCTCCTCAACGCTGTTCCCTCCACGCCCTCCTCCAGCCTCCCAGCCGCTCTGCGACCCAACACGCGCTCTCCCGCCACCCAGAGCACCATCACCCCCGAGCAGATCGCCACCATCCAGCAGCTGCGCGCCAAAGACCCCATCACATACACCAAATCGCGTCTCGCCAAGGAGTTCAACTGCAGCCCGCTGTTCGTCTCCATCGTCGCTCCCCTGCCCAAGGCGGTGAAGCAGGCCAAGAAGCAGCAGGACGAGCTGAAGAAGCAGAGCTGGGGGTTGAACAAGCGCGTTGCCCGAGCCGAGCGCGAGGAGCGTCGCTTGCTGTGGTGATGAGTAGCTGGATCATGTATTGTATTTGTTATTAGTCATGCACATACGCTGTTGCGAATTCCTTGCAGTCATCAAGTGAGGCATTGTGAAGTAGCAGGAGCAGGGAAGTTAAGCCTGGGCTCCCACATAATTTTGAGGAGCAACAAAGACGTATATGTATGCACTGGGCCGCCATCTTGGCACGTGCAGAGACACGGCGGCCGCTTGGCGTAGTGGTATCGCGCTTGCTTTGGGAATGATTCTCCGGAAAAGTTTGCGATATGCAAGAGGTCACGAGTTCGATCCTCGTAGCGGCCCTTTTTTGGGCGCGAAAATGCTTTTTTTTGGTGCCTACGGATGCGCAGCAACGAGAGGAACACGCTCCGACAATTTGGATCAAGATTGATCAGGAAATGGCCGAGAAAATGGTGATTGAAGATTTTGCAAAGATGGTGTCAGTGGTTGGGGAAAACGCCTCGTGGTGCTTACGGGAGAGGTCCAAGCTCATAAGTTACATGTCGGAACAATGAGCTGTCGATTGGACTGACCGCCTTCATGTATAGCACAATGACGGAGGGCCTGTGCGCTGGTACACGCAGACCAACGAGAAGCTACTCAAAGAGTCTATCACGCGGCACCAGGCTGCCACAGAACCCCATTGGCTGGCCTTCTCAATCGAATCAAAGCGAGCAAGACCTGTTGTGGCTGATTTGCTCGACTTCGGCGCTGCACAAACAGTCTGGTAAAGATGCAACTTGATCTGATAACGGTGCATGCTTGTGGTCGGAGTGAGTCGGACGAGGTGCACCTGCAGCTGAGCACGCAAGAGAGGCGGACGGTGGGACCCTGAATTTAGCTTGGACGCGGCGGCGAAAGCCAGATAGGACAGAGACTGATAAGACGCCGCGCCTCCACACAAACACCCCCAAAGCGCACATCTGACACAGCCAACTCAGCCGGCTCAGAGTCACTATCACACGCAGGCAACTCCTAGTCACACGAACAGGGTCAGCGAGCTTGTCATCTACTTACCATCGTCACTCGCACCTCATCCCGTGAGCACCATCCGCATCAAGTCTTGATCCTCAGTGCTGTCAATCACCGCAGCGACCACACATAAATCAAACGCGCAGCCGCACAAGCAAGCTACCCTGTCGCTCAGCTCACCACTCTCTACAAGGCGTCCGCTCAAGATGCTTTCCAGAACAGCACGGCTACGAGTGCTCAACCGGCCCAGTGCGGCATCTGTCACTATCATTCGAAGCTATGCGGTCCCCGTCAATCCCTCCAGCTCGGTCGATGCGCTCCTCGGCACCTCGGTACCCCCACCTCCAAGAGAAGGCCAAGAGTACGGTTCACCAGCTGGCACCTATAGCACACCTCCTCGATTCGGCGCCAAGAACCCGAACGACATCTCTGACCTTCTCCGCGGGCACCGACCACGCGACCCTACCAGCGGACGATCCAACAATGGCAGCGGCAGCACCAGCTCTCGCAACGCCAGCCTAGCCGACCTCCAACGCATCAAAGGAACAGCCATCGGCGCCGAGCGTCGCGGCATTCCCATCCCCTCGCGGGACGAGATGCTGGAAGAGATGTTCAAGCGGCCCATGCGCGAGCTCGAGGATCGACGAGGTGTGGTGGATCGAGAGCACCCGCATCCGATTGATGCGCTGTATGGGCGAAACGAGCTGGATGAACGGGTGCTGGCCGCAGCTCGTGCGCTCCATGCTGCTTCGAATCACCCACGGCATGCGGATGTCAAGAATACGTATAAGACAGCAACTCTCTCGCACCTTTTGGAAAGATTCGAGTCGAGATCGGGCTACCAGCTGTCGATCGAGCTCCCCTACGAGCCCACACCCGCAGACCACCGCAAAGTGCCGCTCACTTCAGCACACAGTTCGGAGGCCGAGCTGCAAGAGGCCAACGACGATGGCGTGCTGCTTCTCGCTTACGTCTCCAACCTGACTGGTGCCCGAGGCACAGAACGCATCAGTGTCTCCTCTGGCTTCGCTGTTGAAGGCGGGGACAAGATCTCAGTCGAGGATGGGGATGGCAAGGGACCACTGGTTGTCACTTGCGCACACACACTACGTGCTTCTCTGCCATCAAAGGGCACAACGGACGGCAAAACTTCGTCTGAAGGTAGCAACTCGAGCGGCGAAAGGGACAGCATCGCACTCGCCATCACCCGCACAGGCGCGATCTACCCCGTGCGAAACCTCATTAGCAGCCTTCCCACTTCGGACGTCATCCTCCTGCAACTCGGTACCATGCCTCTTTCCCTCAACGGTACTACTGAGACAACTGCGCCACTCCGTACGCTCCCCGTATCGCCCTACCCGGCGCACGTCAACTCGGAGCTCTCCGTGTCCTCCTTCTGGGGCTGGGAGGACGATTCCGGAGCCATCCTTCCCGCGTACACCGTCAACCCTGATGGACAGTCCCTCGACGTGTCACCCACCGTGTCGCCGGCAGGCCGCTCAAAAGACGCAGTCAAGCTGGAACGGGACGACGCCGGCCGTAGCCGCTGGGGGCGCGCCCGCCTGGTGGAGTACAAAGATCCCTGTGGCGCATCCGCCATGGTGGGCACATACGACGAACTAGCTCAGCTCGACTACAAGCTTCTCGTCTCGTCACCCGCCAACCCGCCCGCTCTACAGGGCGACTACGCACTGCGCCTCTCAAGCACCGTCACCGAAGCAACGCGCCTGGGATCGGGCGGTGAAGCCACAGAGAGAGGGAGGGAGGTGGTGCAGAGTCGAACGCGGAAGCCGTTGCCCAATTTCCCACCACCCGGTTCGAGCGGCGGACCGGTGGTGGATGTTGAGAGTGGGAGCGTGGTCGGGGTGGTTCGGGGACACAAGATGAGCGCGTTGGAGGGGAGGAGGGGCGATGCGGTGCCGGCAGAGAAGGTGTTTGAGTTTTTTGCGCTGCCTGGGCTGGGAAGGAAGAATTGATGGCCGCGATGACGATTCTCGCACAGTCGTGGTGATCATGGGCACGCAGGTCAGGGTACAATACACGCAGTTTAGCATTTTGATGTGAAGAATGGGCGTCTGTCACGAGCGTGTTGTCCGACAGTGTGACAAGCAGAGAAGACAGCGCGCCCGAAGCAACGGGGTTGACACTCAGAGTTTGCAGAAAGCGGTGATGCTCGAAACGCCTGCAACACAGATCAAAAACGCAAAAGCTGATCAGCGCTTGTCTCTCTTCCTCACACCCATCTGTTCGGATCGCTACTTACCACCGAGCCAAAGTCCACCATTCTTCTCATCCCACAGTGCAGTAGTCGCACCGCTCATCCCACTCCCATCGTCCTCGAACAGCTTCTCGACGTTCCACTTTTTGCCGAAGAATGAGTCCTTGCCGACATTCTTGCTGATCTTCAGCACGGTCGAGGGCGAGTGCTTGTGATACGGATCCTTGAACTTGGCGAGGAGCTTGGGGACGTTGGGGAAGCAGGCGGCGTAGATGTTGTCTTCGTCGTCGACGGTGAGGTTGTCGGCGGGATAGCCGGTGTGGATGACGTCGATGAGGGTGAGGGTGTTGTCGGCCTGGAGCTCGAAGACGCGGATGTTGGGGTCGGCCGATGCGGGGACGTAGAATCGGTTCGGGTACTTGGACGACTGTTTGAAGTCAACGTGAGAGATAGAGGTCAGTGTGGGTCCAGTAATGGGAGGAAGCGGTAGCAGATACGTACTCGAACAACGCCGTTGGGGTAGGGGTACGGGCCGGGAGCAGCGATCTTGCAGCCGCTCTTGTCGCAGAAACCCAAATCACTCCTGGGCAGGATGAAGTCCAACACCCTCTTCGCACCCGTCTTGACACTGTGGTCATTGGTGAAGACAAAGCTGTCCGGTCCGGCGGCAGCAGGGCGGTTGGGGGTGCGAATCGCTTCTCCGACATACGTCCTGATGTGACGCATCCTCGACTCGCCCAACGTCGTTTCGAACAGCTCGAAGGTCGAATTGGCCCCAACCTTGGTCGCGTCCATCACAGTCTTGGTGACCGGATCGATGGGAGGTCGGTGGTTGTTGAGGAAGATGCGCAGTGTGGGCTTGAGCTCGGCCGACTTGGCAGGCACCTCGTAGACCGAGATGCCGTGCAGGTTAAGCGTGTCGGTGAACGAGACGGGCTTGACCTTGGTGATCCTGCTGGCGTAGGGTCCGGTCTTCTTGGTGTCGAGGATGGCGATGTAGTCGTTGTTGGGTCGACCAGAGACGTCGAGGTTGTCGATGGCAGGGGTCCAGGCGAGACGACCGGGAATGTCGGAGCAGGCAAGGTAGAGGAGACCCGAGTCGCGATGCATCCACATGTCCTCACAGGCCTCGAGCTCCGGGATGGGGGTGCACGAGTGCGAGGTGTAGTTGAGCGGACGACCGAGACCAAAGACATCGTGGGCTTTGCTTCCGGGACCGGAGAGGAATTGGTAGGCCAGGGCGGCGAGCGCGATGGGCACGGCGAGGGTAGTGATGATTCTCGGCATCTTGGTCGCGATCGAAGAGGATGCTTGTGAGAAGGTGGAAGGGAGTTGAAAGGAAGGGTCAAGAGGTCGACAGGGTCTTCGTCACAAAGCTTCTGAAGCGGGGGGAGCCGCACAGACCACTGTTGGAAGGCTTGCATTGTAGTCGGCGGTAACTGCGCAAAACGGCGGCAGATGCGCTCAGACGCGTCTGCAGTCTCAGTCATGTTCGAGTCGGGCTTGCAAGCTTTGCCTGCAAAGCATTGTGCGCTCAGACGGACCTCAGCCATCCTTCGTTTGTGACATGCAAAGGCATGCACGACTGCTTGTCGCTTTCCCCGCAAACGCATTTTCTCCAACATGGTAAGACGAGTCTTTAATCTGATGGACGAATTTTGGCCAACTGTGAGATTGACATTTGAAGATCGAGATGGATAAGGGACGGCATGCGCCATGACGCTGATGTGCCTGCGATCATCTTGGACAGCTCCCACAGCGTCTGGATTCTTGCTCTCTCTCCGCCTCTGGTCAACGCTTTCAGGGTCCTGACAAACCCTCTTGGGCAGCTCGCTTGCCGTGTGTCTGTGTTGCTCTCGATTTGGCTTTTCCCACGCCCGCCCGTTGTGCCGGTTGGATGGAGGCGTGAGAGAGACCCAAAGTCAGCCTCAGCATCTGTGCCTTTATTGCTAGGAAAGCGGCCATCCTGTCTGATTACGCCGTGGCGCTTCCCTTGATTTCCATTCCTGCTTGCTCGCTGAATCACTCGGCGACTTCGGCCAAAAGTCATCAATCTTCTTTCTTCTCACACCATCCACCGTCGCTACCTTTTGTTCCCTTCGACAACCATCACATCGCACCTTGATCAAACAGGCTTACCTTGAGAGTCCAGCGTGGTCTCGACAACAGCCTCACAAGATGTCCTCCGCGGAAGACCCCAAGTCCGCGCCTGTCATGGACCCAGACCAGGCAGCCGCTGTGGGTGCAGCTCCCTCCGCTGCTGCCGCCATGCAGCCGGCTGATCCCACCGAGCCCGTCGCAGAGGATCCTGCCAAGCTCAAGTCGAGCGAAGACAAGACCGAGGAAGTCGGTCAATTCGCAGACAAGGATAACACCAACAAGGCTGCCGCTGCTCTCGATCCTGAAGCCCATCTGCACAAAGCTCCCAAAGCGGAAGTCGCTCCCGAACGAATCACGGAACTGCGCGGCACACAAAAGACGGTGCCTGCCCCCAACAACGGAGACAACGAACGTGCCGTCGAGCCTGGCGTGGACGATCTCGGATGGAGCGAGGATCCCAACGTGCCCATCCCTGTCATGCATGGCATGAAGAACGAGTCGCTCTGGCTGCTTGTCCGTCGCTTCAACAAGCAGACCTATCGCGTCAAGGCGCTCGAAAACAAGTCCAACCGCGACTTTGACATGTATATCAGCAAGGACGAGGAGTTCCAGCCCGACAAGCTCAAGGCCACCTTCGAGCGTATCTACGTCAATGTCGTCGTTGGCGTCGTTTCCTTCATCCAGCACATTGCACGTCTTCGCTCGTGGTCCGAGCCCAAACGCACTGCTCTGTTCATGATCGTCTACATTGCTGCTTGGGTCCTCGACTTGCTAGTGCCCACTTCGCTTGTCTTGTTCCTCGTTCTCATCCTGTCGCCGCGTGCTAGGACCCTCCTCTTCCCCGCAGCTCCCTTGGCTGCTATCGATGCTAAGACAGGTCAGGCCAAGGTGCCAATGGCCGGCCATCTCGGTAGCAAGCACAGTTTGACGGGCGCTGCCGAGACCTACGAGGGCGAAGCGGTGGAACAGGAAGCCTCCAACTTTGTCGGTGCGCTCGGCTCCGTCGCTCTGAGTACGGCTGCAGGAAAGACAACCAACGCGGGTGCCTCTGCCGACAACGACGACGAAGACGACGACGACAGCAGCAGCGACGAGACTTCCCTCAAGAAGAGCAATTCGACCACCAAGAAGCCCAAGAAGGATCCCGAGGACAGGATCCCTGACCCTACTAGCGTTGCTGCCCTCTCCTCAGCTGCCCAAAGCAAGGCTGCTGGCGAGAAGACGGGTCATCCGGACAAAGGTGACCACACCAAACAGCCTATGGAGGCCGCCATCTTCTCCAGCCTGGCCCCCTTCATGCACATCCTCAACAACGTCTGCGACGACTACGAGAGGTTTGGCAATGCCTTGTCTCCCACCCCGCCCTTTTCACGTTGGAAGCCGCGCGCTCGTCTTGCCGGCGCCGTCCTCCCCGTCTTCCTGGCATCGCTCTACGTCAACGAGACTATGATCTACAAAGGAACCACGTTTGGAATGGGATTTGCGCTCTTCGGTCAGCCGCTGATCGACCGAGTCAAGTTCCCCGCCGTGATCGAGTGGCTCGACCGCAACATTCCCGACTGGAAGAAGTACGTCGAGCTGCGCTACTACTTGCTGCGCGGCGTGCCCACCAATGCCCAGCTCACGGTCACACTGCTTCGAATTGGAGAAGCCAACAAATCGCCACTGCCGCCTCCGCCGCCTTCTGTCGTTGCTCCGCCGCCCTCTGCGCTTCACGGTTCGGATATGGCTGATCACCCCGATCTGCCCCCCGAGTACGCTGAGCAGCTCGCAGACGCCCAAGCTGACGACGTCGCGAGCCGACCCGAAGGCGAAGACGCCTCGGCCACGGATCCCAAGACGGGCAAGAAGGGCAGCAAGGTGCTGGGCCTCCTCAAAGGCGTCACCAAAGCCGGTGTCGAGACTGCTCTCGGCGTCAATCGCGTCAAAGCCACCACGATTCAGTCCGTGCACGCCAAGGCCAAGCTGGGCGTCGTCCAGTCGGAAGCCGCAGCGAAAAAGTATGCCGCCGATGGTCCCGTCAAGTTCCAAGCACGCTATCGCGGCAAGCGAGGCTACGTCTACATTGTCACGACTGCTGCCACGCCCTCCATCGCCTTTGAACGCAAGGGCAGCTCGAACCCGGCCTCGGCGGCTGCGGCGGCGGTCAAAGGAAGTTCGCCCACGTCGGCCGTCGAGCAAGCGCAGAGGCTGGTCAAGCAAAAAGGAGCGACGTTTGCCATTGCCATCGACGAGATCAAGGAAATCCACAAGGTCGGCGGGCTCGGATGGAAGGGAAAGCTCGTCGTCGGATGGGCGTTGGGCGGCGAGGTGGCAGACGGCATTGAGATTGTGGACAAGCAGGACCAGGTGCACAAGCTCACCGCCATGGGCAGGCGCGACGAGGTGTTCAACAGGCTCATTGCATTGGGCAACCAGAAGTGGGAGGCATTCTAACCTCGCCGATGTCGATCGAGTGTCTCTTGCATTGCAACTCGACTCTTCATTCGACACTGCCGGACTGTGACATTGAAAGCGCCCGCAGCCTCACAAGCCATTGCTTCCCCCCGCACCCCAATCCCACAACCACTCGTCCAGCTCAAACCTTACCCTCTTAGCCAACACACTGACCACCCCATACCCTACATTCGTCCTAAAGTTGATACTCGTCCCCAACTTATCCTGCGCACTCGTCCTGACCAGCATCCTCCTGCTGACCAACCCGTTGATCTGCGAATAAACGCTCAACGTCTTCCCCCTGTACTCCCACAAACCCGACCTCTCCACCGGGCCGTCCTCAGCCATTCCTGCGTAGACCAACGACATCTCGGGCGCAGCCTCCGTCACCAGCGCCTGGAAGATCGCTAACAACCGGTCGATCGGGAACGGTTTCGGACCCAACAGCTGCTGTCGATTGAGGTTTTCCGTCTGACCATCGGTCGTTACGCGCAGAGCCGATTTTGATGGGCGACCTTTTCGCCCCCCTGCCCGTCCACGACCCGGCCCGAGCTTGCGTCCGCCTTTGAGAGATTTGCCCTTGGCAGAACCGGACGAGAGACTGAGCAACGAGTCGTCCCGCAAGAAATAGCGCACGTCGAGCCGGGACGGGTTATACGAGGCAAGAAAGCTGGCAATGACGAGGAAGGTCGGGATGAGCGCGAGCGAGGGGAGGAGCGCAATACTTGCCTGGCTGGACGCATCGCGCAGTCGGGCAAGCGTCTGAGTTTCGCGTGCAAGCCACTCCTCCTCATCAAACCGTCTCGCTTCATCGACCATCTCCACATCTTCCTCCGTCGCATCTCCGGTGGTGCTGGAAAGTCTTGCTGCGCTCGCCTGAATACTGCTGATCCTCGCTTGCTGCGTCCACTCCCTCGGTCCCACCTCCCTGGTCTGCAACCTCACCAGTACATCCCGAAACAACCCCCCCGCAGCCAACAGCAATGGTTGAATCTCTCCCACGCTGCATTCCCTCGTCTGCACCGGCACAACAAAGCTATGCCACACAGCAGCACACATGGTCCTGACCTCCTCGACATCACGCACGTTGGCCCGAACGCTATCGTAAAACACACCGCAGAACTGGTCGTGCAGTGCGCGCAGGGCTTCCTGGGTCACCTCGGCGCCCGAGCCTGTGGTGCGAAGTTTGGACGTGGTGGATCGGGTGCACAGCGCGGGTGATGTGCCGGCATGCATCTGTGCCGACCCCACCGTCGAGCTGTACGACGCCCAGAGGTGAGGGAAGTCCAGCGCGAGGATGTCCAATATATCCCCCCTGGTCAGGCGCGGGAATCGAATCGTGATCGGCTGGTGGGAGATGGTCACCCCCGAAGGCGTGCGATACTGCGCCCAGGAAAGCGTCGAGACGAAGACCGTGCAGATTCGACCGGGAGTCGAAGCGAGGTGGGACAGCCGAGGGAGGGACGTCCATATGTGTTCCGGCCACAGGTCTCGGATTCGTTCTGCATCTTTGATGACGAGGACGATGCGACTGGGTGTGGAGGCGAGGAGCGTAGAGAGGCGCCAGAGGAAGTAGTCGAGTGAGGGCTCGGCGCGCCGGTGCTTTGCAGTGGAGCTGCTGGCTGTGGTGGGCTGAGGTACCTGCGCTTCGAGCGAGGAGAGTATGTTGCGAAAGAGCGTGGTCGGGTTGATCGATGTCAAGGGGGAGACGCTACAGTAGAGCAAAGGTGAATCCTCGGAGGCGTGCGATAGGGAGGTGAGGATGTCCGTGACGAGTCGAGCGGTTGTGTTGGGGCTGCAGGCGTCGTGGAGGAGGACCGATGGTGGAAGGGGTTGAGAGGACTGGCCGAGCAGGCTGGTAAGGGCGACAATTTGGTCGTTTCTGCCTGCGTGAGATGATGAAGCAGCCATCGTGGCGATGTCGAGACGATGCTGCGTAGGGTGTGATGGTGAGAAGGAAGCGCGATCAATGCACGGCCTTTGGGTGACAGGTGTGGAGGCGAGACTGCCGTCTGCTGTTCGCTAAATTTTCCTTCGAAAGTGACACATGCTCGTGTGCTTGGCTTGGACCCCTTTTCACTCGACCTGAACAGTGCTCAGCGTTCGACCCACTTGCTACCTTCATCACGTCCAACGAGCCACGGAAAGCAAGGCAACGCTTAGAACGGATGACGAGAATGTCTTCAGACGCTTCGATCCAAGATTAATTCGAACGACCATGCTCGAACGAGTTCAACCAAGAGCCTGTCGGGCTCTGCTGACAGCTGCTCAGACGAGCACCGCAGTGCGGACCGCTCGTCAAGCAAGGATCACCTCGAGCAGCGCCCCGACATCACGAGACTGCCATTTCGCCACATGTCGGGCTCATCGAGTCTTGGTACGATCGACACCGTCTCCAGTCCATCTCCAGCGACGACATTTCCGCTTCGGTGCAGAAGACGCCGACCAACCAGGTCCGAGCCGCAGCCAGTCTCGCAAAGCAACACCATTAGACGAGATCACAAGACTCCGCGAGCTCATCAACCGCGCCAACGCTACCAACTCGAAGCTCTCCAAGGAACGCACCCTCGCCGAATACGATGACCTCACACCCCTCCTTGCCTTCCTCTACGACCCATACACCCGCTTCCATGTCACCTCGACAAGCTTGCATACGTACCTAAGGCAAAGGCGGCAGGACGATCACTGGCAGAACAAACAGGCTCCTCTCGTGAGCGTTCCTTCAAATCAATCCAAGAACAAAACTCGGGCCGCGGCTCTGCGTGCTAAGCAGGAGGAGGATGTACGAGAGCAAACGCCAGCTTCCCTGCTCGAGCTCTTCCAGCTATTAGCCTCTCGGCAGATCACCGGTCATGAAGCCATGGCTGTCGTACGCAACTTTCTTGACCAACACGGCATCATCGAGCAGCACGATTACGCCCTGAAGCCGGCCGATGATGCAGATGCAAAATCGTCCGATCTCTTCCGTCGGGGTCTGCTGCGCCCCACCTCACTCGAGATCTTCTACAGATGCCTGGATCGCAATCTCAAGGCTGGCTTTGGGGAGCGGATATTGCGTCAAGCATTCGCTGGTATCCCGTTGCCGCAACGGCAGTCGTGGCGCAAGGAAGATCCTCGACAGAAGAACCGTACCGTCGATCCCCTCACGTTGATTCGACAGACTTTTGATGTGGCGCTCGGCAAGCCAGTCACGAGGGACGAGCTACCTTCTTTGTTTGAGGACAAGGAAGCACCGGCATGGTACGCGAGCAGGAAGCTGGACGGCGTTCGGTGTCTCTTTGTGGTCCGTCTCCAGCGAGAGGACGCTGCGTCAGCAGGCTGGAAGGTCAGCTCGATCTTGGCCCTCTCGCGGAACGCTCGGCCCTTTACCGCGTTGTCTGTCTTGGAGAAGGAGCTCGCTCAGAAGCTGCCTGCGTTCCCAGGTCTGACAGACTTGCTCGCCTCCGCACACGAGAATAGCGATGATAACTCCTCGACAGCAACGCTCATCCTCGATGGTGAAGTGTGCATTCTCCGACCGGCAGAGCAGGCCTCCGAGTCGGCGGTCAAGCAGCTCGACGCAGCCTTATCGGCTACCAGTCAGGACGCAACGGAGCACACCATGGTGGAAGACTTTGCCGCCGTCGTAGGCCTCATCAAGCGCCACAACTACACAATCCGCGAGCCAGCCTTCTTTCCGTTCGACCTGCTTACCATGGAAGAGTTCAGCCAGTGGCGGGAGAACACCACTGAAAGCAGCAAAGCACGAACATTCGCACAGCGTCTGCAGCCTCTCGAAGCGCTCGTGTCGCACTTCGAAGCGGACGCGCGCGAGCAAGGCAAGCCGAGCATCGTCCGTCGACTCTCGCAGAACCGCGTCACGTCGACGGACCAAGTGGAGCAGATGCTGGCCACAGCCAGTCAGCGCGGGTGGGAAGGCATCGTCCTCCGGCAAGACACGCCGTACGAGGGTAAGCGCAGCAAGGCGATTCGCAAGTTCAAGGAGTGGAAGGACGCCGAGTACACAGTCCTAGCTATCACCGTAGCGACCATGCGTCTGCCCATCGATGGACGCTTCGAGGAGCGAGAGGCGATGGCGAGCATTCAGATCGAGCACAGGGGGACGAAGGTGTCGGTCGGATCAGGGTTCACGCCCGAGCAGAGGGTGCAGTTTGCCAAGGAACCGGATGGGATCGTGGGCAAGGTGGTGACGGTCGAGTACTTTGATGAGTCAAAGACGATGGGTTCGGCGAGCAACGGTGGGGTGAGACAGGAAGTGTACAGCCTGCGCTTCCCGCGTATCAAACACATCTGGGGCAAGGAGCGCGACGTCTGAGGTGCTTCTGCTTCACTCTACATTGATGGAATCTCATCAGCAGATCAATCTCATCTTCTTCTTTGAGCACTCACAGACAGACGCAGCAGCAAGTGATTGAGCAATGAGGGAGGCAATCTGGATTGAAATGACGAGATGGTCATCTACGCAACCACATTGACTGGGACCGGTATACAAGACGGGCGCATTTAGATCTTGGCCATGGCGGCGACGTCGGTGGACTGGACGTAGTCCTCGCACTCGTCGGCGATGCGTTCCTGGAGCTCATCGAGCGAGACTTTGGCGTCCTCGACGACGAGGGAGCACTGGAGCTTGCTGACACCGTAACCGATGGCGACGAGCTTGGAGGAGCCCCAGACGAGGCCGTCCATCTCGATGGCGCGGACGGCGGCCTCGAGCTCCTTCATGTCGGTCTCGTCGTCCCAGGGCTTGATGTCGAGGGTGACGAGCGACTTGGCGGCGGGACCGGGACCCTTGGCAGCCTTCTTCTTGTTGTACTCGGCAACGCGCTCGGCCTTGATGCGCTCGGCCTCCTCGTCCACCTCGTCGTCCGAACCGAACAGGTCGACGTCATCGTCGTCCTCCTCGGCGGCGGCAGCGGGGGCAGAGGCGAAGGTCGACGAGAGCAGCGAGGCAGCCTTGGCCTTGTCACCGGTGAGGTCCTTGTGCTCAGCCTCGTACGAGGTGATGTGCTCGTACCAGCGGGCAACGTGCGAGTGCTTCGAGGCGTCGGGCGAGGTCTTGAGCGCCTCGTAGACGGCAACGTCGGCCTGCGAGGGCGAGTGACTGCGCGTGCGAACAGAGATCGGTAACGAATGTCAGCTAGACTGATCCCACCAAGAAGACCGGTCTCTTCAGCCGCTTTCCAATGCCCTTCCTCCTCCTCCTAAAAATGCCAATGGAACATGGATACGGATCAGATAGCTTGGAAAAGTTGGGTTTCGTCAAAGCATGAAAAGGTCGCGGGGTCTTAAGCCGCTGGGCTCGGAAACACGGACCAAAGCGTAGTATTCATCATGTTGTTCCTGTGTCCTCCTCTTTCGCCTTCCTGGCCAGCAAGAGAACGTGCTGCTCTCTGGGAACACCTTCTTCTCCTTCCGGCGGTTGCATGGCATTGGAAAACAGCTGAACGAGACTCGATTGGGCGAAAAAGATGCTTACCCGTCAACGTAAGACTTGTCGGCGAGGTAGCCGTCGAGCTTGGAGAGGTTGGCAGCCTGGGAGAAGTCGGGAAGCGACATTTTGATGTATATGGGTATGTGATATGGTGGATCAGAACGATGGTGAAAGACTACGCCGTGATTGATATCAACCTCCCTTCTCGGCGCTGCAGACAGAGCGCAGGCCAACACCCGCTGCCTCGCCAGTTTCAAGAAGAAATCAAAAGAAGAAAAAAGCAGGGTTGCGCCAGGGGAAAAAAAAAATAGAATTTGCGCTCTCTTCGAGGCCGTGTTCTTCTCAAGCAGTGTGTGGCGGCGGTCTGTGCCACAAAGCGAAGCTGCAAGCACAAAAATTCCAGCTGGAGCCAGCCAATCGAAACTGAGGCGAGAGCGCGCTGCAGTGGCAGGCCATTTCGACCCGATCACACAGATTTGAGTGCGGCACGTGCGAGAGGCTTTTTCCGCTGTTTGTTGCACTATAGGATCTCACAGCCAGATACCCTGCGAAAATCCGACTTCCGGCGTCTCTGTTCGCAGACGCGGAGAAGCAGGAAAGGGTCGTCAGTCTGTCCTTTGTGGGAGCAACTGCTTCAAGAACAGTTTCCGGCACGCAGCCAAAGCGAGCGAGCGGATTCCACCTCGATTGGCATCGACGCCAACTCCTTTCAACTTGCTGCACAACCGCACCTTTCTTCCTCCATCCTCACACCGCGATACTGTCCTCGCAAGTCCCGGCTCAGTCTCGCACCGATCGCATTCCTTCTCAGGCAGACGTTCAGATAAGCGCCGTGGCATCGTCGCAACAGCCATCGTCTCTGCCACAGGTGGCTTAGCACAATCGACAATCAACCTCACCAAGGACGACTCTGCCCTCATCTGCTGCGCGTCCACGACTGGACTTCGTCATCACCATTGCTTGAGCAACTCACCTACCAACCATGAAGCAACCGATGGTTGTCTCGGCCTCGGCAGGCCCTTCGCGTGTCCAGCCATCCACCTCGCTGCTCAAAGCCGGTCTCAAGAACACCCATCCTGGCCTTGGCGGCCTTCCAGGCGGAGTCGTCGGCCCCGAAGCAGCCGGTCTCGATCCATCCGGTCCCGAGCACTTCTTCGTCACGCTTGCCGCCTACGCTGACGCACTCGATGCTCTCCCTCTCGACCTCACCCGCAGCTTCTCCGACCTCCGCGAACTCGATGCTGTCCTCGGCTCGCATCTCAACAGCCTCACTGCGCGTCTCAACCACCTCACCGCCCTGATCGAAGACCCTTCGATCGATCAAGGCCAGCGTCTGCTCGCACTCAAAGAGGTGGCCGAAGAGGCGCGCGCCTACAAAATGGGCGGCGAGGACAAGATCCGCGTCGCCCTCAACACCGCCGAGACTATTATCAGCCACACCGACTACATTGATGCGTTGGACAGCCAGTTGGACCGCTTCGCCGAGATCTCGACTCTGCTCAACCCGACTAAGCACCTCAAGCTCGACCAGTACTACGTGCCGGGTGCGCTCAAGGATCGCAAGCTCGTCACCTCGCTCGATGGACCCCTGGGTGCAGCGAGCGGGTCCGGTGCGGGCGACATCAACGGTACCGGCGGGTCGAAGAAGAAGAAGGTCGCTGCGCACGTTGCTGCTGCCAGCGCGGCGGGCAAGAGCCACAAAGCTGCCGACACCGCTTCCCTCACTGGCGCCGCGGCTGGCGCGAGCGGATCGTCGAACAGCAAGAAGCGCAAAGCCATCTCTGGCGCCGCCGTCGCCGGCTCTTCGGCAGGTGGCAGCTCGAAAGTCGCCAAGACCTCCGCAGCGGGCAAGGGGGACGAAGACGTCAAGGTGGCCGCCAACGGCTCCGGCTCGCACAAGAAGAAGACGGACAGCAGCTCGCACGCCTCCGGTGGGTCCAAGGCAAGCGCGTCGAACAGCAACACGCGTCTTCCGCGCGCGGCGCACGCGCACATCGGCTACACGGAGGACGACGAGGATGCCCGAGCGGCCGCGTCTCGCCGTGGAGCGGATGGGGAGGAGGCTGCGGCGAGTCGCAGTCGCAACAGCCGTTCGGTGCGAACCGCCGCGGCGCACCGCAGTGACGACGAGGACGAGGACATGGATGACCCTGACGTCGAAGATGACGATGAGGAAGACACCACCGCTCGCGCCAAGAATCGTGGTCGAACCGGTGGTCGCGCTGCAGCAACCTCCTCACGCGCCCGTGGTGCCGCCGCCGCTTCCCCACATATCGGCTCCGCCTCGGCCAGCCGCGCCGACAGCCCCGCTTCCAACGCCGGTGGCGCAGGCGACGACGCCGACGAAGCAAGATACTGCTTCTGCAACAACGTGTCCTACGGCGACATGATCGGATGCGACGACGACGATTGCGAGCGCGAATGGTTCCATCTGGGTTGTGTGGGGTTGACCAAGCCACCTCAGGGCACGTGGTACTGCGAGGCGTGTCTCGAGCGCCGAGCTGCCAATGGAAGAGGTGGCAAGGCGAAGAAGGGCAAGAGCTCGGGTGGGAGCAAGAGCAAGGTCCGTCGTTAGGGCGCACTACCTGTTCACCTGCTGTATTCTCACTTCTTGCAAGCCGTTTGTAACGTCTCAAGATGCAGATTTGGCCTGTGTGAAGCCCGACACTTGGGGTGCGAGTCTACAAATGAGCCCTCCCAGCCATGAAGGAGTCGAATCGCGGCGGGTCGGATCCACCTCTCATAGCCGATCGGGCGATCCCCCCTCGCCTCGCGCAAAGCCGCAGATCTGCATCCAACCTGCGGCGAATTTTCGGCAGAATACATGCTTCTGTGACGCCATCACACGCCCAGGGAGTTTTTGACATCTCGGCCAATTCCACCCCTCCTGTGCAAGCTGTGCAAGGAAAGCGTCGAACCCGAAAAAGTTTCCGAAGGATGTTTAAGCGAAGAAGAAGAAGAGATGGGGATCGTCCCTTTCCGCCTGGCTGATAGCCCATGTGGGTCAAGATTTTCTCCGAAAGAGGGCGAATTTGCCGAGGGGAAGAGGCGGCAAGCCGTCAATCCTGCGGCTGAGGAGCTGTCACATGAAGTGCGGGTCGCTGTGTGTGCTTGAATCGATATCGATAGCGATGCGCAGTGGCGACCATGGCTTGCGTTGCGGGACAAGTCGCCGAGATGAAGTGAGATGTTGGTTTGATATGCGCAGGTCGTGGTTGGTCGATGTTCAGTAGACAACGGTGCCACCCTGCATTTGATATAAGTGAAGCCCTCTCCTTCGTCCAGCCCCCCTTCCACCATCATCATCTTCTTGTGCCAGACGATCACGATGACGTCTCCAGCAGCCTCGCCACCGTCTTCGGTGCCCTCTTCGCCCCGCCGATCGCTCTTCAGCCTTCCCGGCCTGCGTCTCTCTGCCAAGTCGCACACTCCCCAATCTGCAGACGGCACGACCACTCCAGGCGGTCAAGTAACAACCATCGCGCAAACACCCATCCTCGAGTCCTCGAACCCACTCGAGAAATCCTCCATCCCACCCCAAGCCCGAGAACAACAGATCGTCGGTCTTCCTGGCACGACCCTCCCTGAAACGGCCAAGATCCTCCTCGCTCTCGACGGCACGGATGCAGGCGATAAAGCCTTCACCTACCTCCTGTCCAACAAGCTGCTGCGCACCGACGCCCACGTTTTCCTCTGCACCGTCCTCCCCGCCAACGTCATCTCCACCCCCTGGGTCGCAGGTCCCCTAACGATCGATACCGAAAAACACAATGAATTGCTCAAAAGCATTCGCGCTCAGGCAGTAGAGAAGTTGGAACCGTACAAACGCCAGTTGAAGGAGAAAGGTTGGAGTGTGACGATCCATGTGCTTCATGGAGATGCTAGGGCGAGTCTGGTCAGGGTCGCGAACTATCATGCGGTAGATCTGGTGTTGGTGGGAAAGAGGGAGAGGGGGTGGAAGAAGGGACTGGGAAGCTCGGGCACGGTGAGCAGCTATTTGGTCAGTCACTCGAATGCTCCGGTTCTCGTCATCAAGTAGGGACGGTGTCGTTCCGTAGAGCAATAGAAAACCCCACTCATGTGACACAGGTCAGTCAACATGAGAGTTGCGCTGAACACAATGCCGCCACTGGATGTCATGATGAAGGAATCGTCTGTTTGACCGTGCTTCTAGCCTTACAAAAGAGGTCTTGGGATGCGGCAATCACTGCTCCCTGCCGATCTGCAACCACCTTGTATCCGGGATAATGTTGCCCTTGCTATTCGCCTTGACCGCCAACGCTCCCCTTCCCCATCCAGTCCCAATCACCCTTGCGTCCCACGGCAGGTTCTCCGGATACAACCCCTGCAAACCCGAGTTCTCGGCAGGACACCAGTTCAACAGATCCGCAATTTCCGGTGCCGAGCTCATGTACGGATGAAACCTCCTGGTGGGGTTCCTCTCGATGCGCTTCTGCCTCAACCTGCCGTGACAACCGTACATGTCCTTGTCGAACAGGTTGAACGCCTTGAGCTTCTCGCCACGCGATTGGGCGACGGTCTCGCTGTCCGATAGACCCTCGTCGTCCACGCCGACGTACTGGAACGTCCGCTCGCCCTTGTGCAGGAACCCTTGGGTGTTCCATCGCACCGCTTTCGCATGCAAGTCTTCGAAGCGCGCCTTCTTGAATGCGTACCCGACGACGGTGATGCGTGCCGGATAGTGGGCTGTGTACTCCCGGAAGCGCGCGATCGAAAAGAGCAGATTCTCAAAGCTGTCCAGCGCGTAGTTTTCGGTTGTCATCCGTGCATCTTGCAGCCCGTGTCGTGTTGCCACTGCCGCATTGGCGTGAGCCAAACTACCGATAGATGCGGATGACGAACCGGTCGTGAGGTTGACCAGACTGCCTGCAATCATGGGCACCTCCAGCTCAGCCGACAGCGCCAGCGAGTAGTACGACTCGGCCTCGGTCTGGAGCGAGTTCGGCCGTGTCTGTCCACCGGAGAAGACGAGGAGCGCATTGGGATCCTCGTTGGTGAGCTGCATACCTTTTTCGATGTGCTTGTAGAACGTCTTGACGCTTCCCCCCTTTTGGTACTCCTCCAGGACCCAGTTCTCGTCGTTGTCCTTGCCCTTAACGTCGCAGCCCGCCCAGACGGCGTGACCGGTGACGATGACGAGGTGGTTGAGCTTTTCGGCGCCCGTGCGAGGTGGAGCGACACTGGCGGTGAGCGAGTCGGGTGTTCGGCCTCCGAACTCGATGATGTTCTGCGGTATGGAGCTGCCACGGTGGAAGAGCATGTATCGGAGGTTGAGGAGCGCGGAGAAACCGGCAAAGCCGAGCAGAAGGACCACGCCGAGATTTGTCACTCGCGATCGTGCAGATAGACGGTCGTGGATCGAGACGCCGCTGGATGGGCCGGAACCACCGTTGAAGATGCCCGACTTGCGAGCTCCGGATAGGAGCGAGCCTGATGGTTTCGGAACCATAACTGTGAGATGCCGTCGTCTAGGCTAGTGCGAATGACTGTATGTGTTCGGGTGCGCTGGATATCGAGCACGTCAGCCTACGGATGGCGTTGCAGCTGTGTTGGCTCAATGCGACGAGGATGCCGGCGGTCTATGCCCTGAGTGTCGCAGGCGGACGATCGATGACAGGATGGACTGTTCGTGTGCGAGATCGTCTCTGCGTCGTGAGAGGGGCAAGTGTGACGACTCAGGGTCAGAGTGAAGAGGGGGGAAAGGAGTCGACGATAGCGATGGCGATGATTGACAAGACGTGTGATGTTCAAGAAGGACATGTGAGAGCAACGCCCAATTTACAAGTGTCTCTGAGAGAGCGACTGAGCCGTGCTTGTTCCGAGAAGCGGGCGTGTCGATGAGCGATTGCCTTCCCTATCACAGAAGCGACCACCGACCTCTCAATACCAGAATTCACAGCTTCCAGAAAATGGGGTTCAGAAAAGGCTGCGAAAAAGTCGCAGAGTGTCAAGTTGGCAGCAGGACACACGCTCGCTCAATCTTCAACCTCCACAAGCTATGCACCATTGCCTCAGTCAGCTTCTCTTTGTCACTGTCGATGCAACACAAGTGGCATCATCCTGATCTCCATCATCCCAGCAGCAAGGTACTCCAACGATGTCAGATATCCGAGACAAAAGCGCACAGTTCCTCAGCGACTCGATCGCAGCTGCCACTGGCGGTCAGGACGCAAGCTCGACCGCATCACAGCTCGAGCAGGCCGTCTATGACAAGTTTGGACAGTCGACCTCCAACGACTACCGAGGCGACATCAGGAATATCGGGCTGACGCTCAAGAAGGACAATCCACAGCTCGCATCAGATCTGCTCCAGGGCAAAGTGGCACCAGAACAGCTGGTCAACATGTCACAAGAGGTAGGTACATTCGCAAGCGCTGGCCAGTAGCCGGGGGAAGTCACTGACGATTCCAGCTCCTATTTCCTCTTGATTGTTCGGCAACACAGGATATGAAAACAGAGGAACAAGCAGCGCAAGATCAACAACTGCGTCAACAGAACTTGGAAGCTTCGGTCGGCGTGGACGAGCTGGATCCCGAGCTGGGGCCGATTGTCACTTCGGAGCAGGGCATCTCTCGTATGCAAGAGGGCGACATGGAGACCTACGGCGAAGCAGGGGAAGCATCCTTGGGCGGAGGCGGAGAGGGCGAGTTCAAGGCGAGAGCGCAGCCCAAGGTGGGTGAAGCTATGCGTGGTATCGAGTTCGAGACTGGTGTCTAGGCCAGACAGAGGACCTCAGTCAGACTAGAGGGGAAAATGATTGTAATGCTAGTAATAGTACATTGACCGAGAGGGTCAGACACGAATGTGTCGATGCTATGGTATAGGTACAAATACAGGTGTCTCAAATGCAAGGCGAACGCAAGAAAGCTAGGCGAGAGGAAGATGGAGTCTGGAGAGGTTGAGCGCGCGCATCACATGGGACGACCGGCGGCAGCTTGAGCAGCCTGCTTGCGTGCCTCTGCCTCCTTTGCCTGCTCTTCCGCGCGGCGCTTCTTGCCCTCCTCGGCCATCTGAGCCAGCTTGTCGTGGTCCAGCTTGGGCTCAACGTGCTTCTCGTAGTTGCCAGCGTCGAGGCTGCGCTCGTATGCGTCGCCGATCGCAGCGAAGAGTTGGTCCAGGTTCTCGATGGCATCTCGAAGCGCATCCAGAGCTGAGGCGCGATCTGATGCGTTTGCGGAAACGGACAGCAAGAGTAGAGAGACGGTTAGCATACTGTGGGCTGATCAGATCTGAACATCGACAACAGCAACCATTGCAAAGGCTCTTGCAGCTCGCATCTTGATGTGGTGGCTCAGTAGGAACGATTGTACAAGAATCTAATAAAAATCTTCGTCAAGCCCGAAAGCAACCTGGCAGGTTGATGGGCACATACGATCCCTGTTTCTCATCTCGGCCGACGAGTGCGAGCTCCGTTTGCGATGGTGTGCGTATCGATGATCCACTTACCATACATCTGAACACGGAGGTGGATCTTGTTCTCCGAAGGGTGTGGGTTGCTATATCCGCAGAACTCGACGCGGGGGCTGCAAGGAGCATGGCAGAAGGCGAAGGGAGGACGACATGTCAGCATTTGAGCCTCCCGCTGAACATTGAAACCGCTGCTCGAGAACTATTGACAAAGTCTGCTTGCTGTCTTGCGCGGAAGATGCCTCAGCAACGAAGAATTCCATTATTGTATATCCCCCACCACTACTATGTCCCGATGCGACTCGGTCAATTCGTGTAAAGCACAATAGTTAAAGCTATCATCTTTGTAGCATCTCCGCGCAGGGCGAACAGAACTTTGCTGATGTGCAAGGATCGAGCTGAAGGCGTCCACTTACTCCTTCATGATGATGTAGCGAAGCGAGTTGCCCAATGTGTGGTCCTCCTCCTTGAGGCAGAATGTGACGGCGGAAAAGTCGGGCTCGTATCCTGGAAGCAGCGTGAGCTTGTCGGCTATTGAGGCAGGGCCGTCGCCCATGACCTCTGCGAGATTCGGATTCGACATGTTGGTCCCTGGTGATCGTAGATGATGGGTCTCAGGAAGGCTGGAAAAGAAGAGTCGTTGTTGGTCTTGAACTTTTTTTGGTGGTCCTCTCGCCAAAAAAATCTGTTTCGTGGAGAAGGCTTCAATCTCATTTCTTCCAAGATGGCCAATCGCACGAGAAGAGCTCCACTCGACGGCCTCACACACGCGCAAAATTGATTCCAGTCTGGCTGGCTTGAGAGCAGTCTTGATCTCGAAAATGGCCAGAAATCGGAACAGGCAGGCGCGAAGCCAGCCAATCGAGGCTACAGACGTGTCGTGATGAGCGCAAGAATTTCGAGGCAAAAGAGCAGTGAGAATGGAGGCCCAGCCTTGAAGTGAGAAAGCTCAGCAGCTCGACTCGATTTCGCCCTTTTTTCTCAGTCCACCTGCTTGCTTGCTTGCTTGCTTGCTGCGACTCAATCGCGATTTCGCATCCGCACCGCATCCACCTCTCAACGCCAGCTCGACTCGAGGAGCTCGCTCGCTATCTCGATATTCGCAGATTCCTTCTCGCCGGTGTTGGTCTTTTGTCATTGTCGCTCTCGCCCCCCGCCGTCACCGCTCGCGTGCATTTCCGCAGGCGATCCCCACCATCAACAACTCATCCGACGTTCCGTCGCGCCTGCCATCCGCACCTTTCGACCCTTTCATCCGCCCATCGGCGCGTCGACATCGTCGCGTTCCTTTCACCACTCTCCTCTCCCTGGTCCACAGTGATCGACGTCGTCGACGTTCGCTGTCAGACGCGACCCTGTTCTCCCAGCACATTCCTTACCTCCGCCTGCATCTCGATTGATACACCATCAGGCGTCCTGTATCGTCATCTCGGTGCTGTGCCGGCTCTCTACGACCACCGTTCTTGCTAGCAGCTCAGCGGTCCACACCTACGAACTAACCATCAGGCTCAAGCCCGCTTCTTTCGCCCGATAGCCGCCATTGATTCGCCCTCATGTCCACCATCACCAACGGAGCCAGCAACGGCGCGCCCGCCAACGCGCAGCCGCCAGCGCTTAGCGCCCAAGCTCAACAGATGCTCACTGGTATGACCAAGGAGAGGCTACACAGCATGATTGCTCGCATGCAGCAGCTCAAAGCCAGCGGCGTCAACGAGGCCACCAGCCAAGAGTATGCTACGCTCGTCAACACACTCAAAATGTTCCAGCAGTATCAGGCCATGCGTCAACAACAGGCCGTCGCCATGCAAGCAAGAGCAGCACAACAGCAACCTGCGCCTCGCACTCCCACCTCTGCCACCGCGCCATCCGCACCTTCGCCATCGCAGCCGACCAGCGCATCGACGCCCGCAGCAGATGCAGCCAACGGCTCTTCCTCCACCAATGGCATCGTCGTCAAGACCGAAGAAGACATCTCGCGCTCCTTGAGCCCCGCCAACTTTACGCCTGACCAGCTCAACGCGCTCAAGACCCAGATCATCGCTTTCAAGCTCATCTCGCGCAATCAGCCGTTGCCGTCCCATCTGCAAGAGGCCATCTTGGCCGCAGATCGAGAGTCGGAAGCGCAAGACGCAAGCAAGGGCGAATTACTCACCACCGCGACGCAGATCGCTGCCGCCGCTGTAGCATCATCAGAAAAGCCAACGTTGGACGAAGCCACCAAGGCAAGCATGTCGAAAGAGGGCGCTGCTGCTACTGCGTCATCCGAAAAGATCGCAGAGATTCCACGACCGCCCAGCCCGAAAGACGACCCGAGCAGCTCGGTATATCCCTACAATGCCTACGTGCATCCCTTCTCGTACATCTCCAAGCCTTTGCTCGAGGACGACGACTATACAGCCACCAAGCAGCAACGACTCTTGATACCGAGCCTCGTACCAGCCGGCCTCGAGCCGCGCCTCCTGCTGGAAGAGCGCGACCGATTCGTCCAGGCTCGCATTCGTCAACGCATCCGAGAGCTCGAGTCCTTCCCCGCCGACATGTCCCAGAGCCCTACCATGGCGAGCCTCAAGGGCAAGGAGAACGCGCAAGATCTCGTCTCGCAGCTTCACCAGCAAGGAGACAATGCCAAGTTGAAAGCGCTTATCGAGCTCAAGTCGCTCCACCTCCTCGAAAAGCAGAAGCAGCTGCGCGAGCAGGTCGTTCAGAGCCTCAACCTGGCTACTACGCTCGGCCTCGACCGTGTCGCGTTCAGACGTGTCAAGAAGCAGACTCTCCGCGATGCACGCATGACCGAACAACTCGAGCGCAAGCAGCGTGTCGAGAGGGAGAAGCGCGCCAGGCAGAAGCACATCGACTACCTCAGCACCATCTGCAACCACGGTCGCGACCTAGTTGCAGCGCATACGCGGGTCAACGACCAAGCTCGTCGATTTGGACGTGCCATGCTTAAGTTTCATGCCGACACCGAGCGCGAAGAGCAGAAGCGAGTTGAAAGGATCGCCAAGGAGCGTCTCAATGCGCTCAAGGCCGACGACGAGGAAGCCTACCTCAAGCTCATCGACACTGCCAAGGACACGCGTATCACGCACCTCTTGCGACAGACCGATGGCTACCTCGACAGCTTGGCGCAGGCCGTCCAAGCGCAGCAGAACGACGACGTCCACGCCGATGCCATCGCAGCCGAGCGTGCCGTCGTTGTCGAGGACACGGCCAATCAAGAGGTCGGCGTGGCGGTCGACGAGACCATGTTCGGTGCCACTCGCCAGGACGACCCCGCCGAAGACCGCGGCAAGGTCGATTACTACTCGGTGGCGCATCGCATCACGGAGCGCATCACGCAGCAGCCGACCATCCTCAGCGGTGGTACGCTCAAGGAGTACCAGATGAAGGGTCTCCAATGGATGATCTCGCTCTACAACAACAGGCTCAACGGTATCTTGGCCGACGAGATGGGTCTCGGAAAGACGATCCAGACCATCTCGCTCATCACCTACCTCATGGAGTTCAAGAAGCAGAACGGACCCTTCCTCGTCATTGTTCCGTTGTCGACGCTCACCAACTGGGTCAACGAGTTCAACAAGTGGGCGCCTACCGTCTCGACGCTCGTCTACAAGGGCACGCCCAACATGCGAAAGCAGCTCACGGGTCGTCTTCGCTCCATGAACTTCCAGGTGCTTTTGACGACCTACGAGTACATCATCAAGGACAAGCACCTGCTCGGCAAGATCAAATGGGTGCACATGATCATCGACGAGGGTCATCGTATGAAGAACACGCAGTCCAAGCTCACCATCACGCTCACGCAGTTCTACACGAGTCGATACCGTCTTCTGCTGACGGGTACACCGCTGCAGAACAACTTGCCAGAGCTGTGGGCCCTGCTCAACTTTGTGCTGCCCCGCATCTTCAACTCGGTCAAGAGCTTCGACGAGTGGTTCAACACGCCCTTCACCAACACGGGTACCGAAGGTGGCATGCAGCTCAACGAAGAAGAGGCGCTGCTCGTCATCAAGCGTCTCCACAAGGTGCTGCGACCGTTCTTGCTGCGTCGTCTCAAGAAGGACGTGGCTTCCGAACTTCCGGACAAGGTGGAGAAGGTGATCAAGTGCAAGATGAGCGCGCTGCAGATCAAGCTGTACCAGCAGATGAAGAGGCACAAGATGATCCTGTCCGGCGAGGACAACAGCACCGCGGGCAAGAAGGCCAAGCCGCAGGGCATCCGAGGTCTGCAGAACGCCATCATGCAGCTGCGAAAGATCGTCAACCACCCTTACGTATTCGAGCAGGTCGAGTTGGCCATCAACCCGACCAAGGAAAACGGCCCGGATCTGTATCGAGTCGCCGGCAAGTTCGAGCTGTTGGACAGACTGCTGCCCAAGCTCTTCGCCACCAAGCATCGCGTACTGATCTTCTTCCAAATGACGGCAATCATGGACATCATGGAAGACTTTTTGCGCTACCGAGGCTTCAAGTACCTCCGTCTCGATGGTTCGACCAAGCCCGACGACCGATCGGAGCTGCTCAAGGTGTTCAACGCGCCCGGCTCGGAGTACTTTATCTTCATCCTCTCGACCCGTGCCGGTGGTCTCGGCCTCAACCTGCAATCCGCCGATACCGTCATCATCTATGATTCCGATTGGAACCCGCATCAGGATCTGCAGGCGCAGGATCGAGCGCACCGAATCGGTCAAAAGATGGAAGTGCGCATTCTGCGTCTTGTCACGGAAAAGTCCGTCGAAGAAACGATCCTCGCTCGAGCGCAGGACAAGCTCGAGATCGAAGGCAAAGTCATCCAAGCCGGAAAGTTCGACAATCAAGCCACGGCGGACGAGCGCGAGCTGCTACTCCGAGCGATGTTGGAAGCGGACAACGACGACGAAGACGAAGACGACGGTGACTTCAACGATGACGAGCTCAACCAGCTGCTGGCGCGTGGCGAGCACGAGGTGCCCATCTTCCAGCAGATTGATCGGGAGCGTCAACAAGCGGACGCTGATTTCTGGAAGTCCTTGGGATACAAGGGCAAGCTTCCCGAGCGCCTGATGCAGGAGTCCGAACTGCCCACCGTCTACCAACAAGACTTCGACACGGACAAGCTCGAGGACGAAGTCGAGGAGGAACAGCCGGCGACGCGCAAGCGCAACGTGGTGCACTACGACGACGGTCTCACGGAGGATCAGTTCCTGCGTGCGCTCGAGGACGACGATGTGGACATCAACGACATTGTAGAGCGCAAGCGGGAGCGGATCGAGAAGCGACGTGCCAAGGCGCAGATGCAGTCGCTGGACTCGCTCGAGGGGACACCGGAGGTGGAGGGTGGCAAGCGGAAGAAGGGCGGTCGGGGTCGCATCGCGGGGGCGAGCGAGACACCGGAACCGTCGCCCGGTCCATCGGGTCGCAAACGCAAACGTTTCGGCAACGTCTCCCTCGACGGCTCTCCGGACTACGAAGACTCCCCCTCCGCCGCCGCCCGCACCGCCGTCCCGAAACGCCGCAAGACCGGCGGAGGCGAAGACGACACGCGCGACCGCATCAAGTACGCGCTCAACCAATGCTACCGCGCGGTCGAAACCTGTCTGGAACCGGAAACCGGTCGCAAGCGCTGCCTGCTGTTCTTGGATGTGCCCAAGAAATCCGACTACCCGGACTACCACGTGATCATCGAAAAGCCCATTGCGATGCGTCAGATCAAACGGCGCATCGACAACCGCACCTTCCGCCGCGTCGATGCGTGTCGCGACGAGTTCCATCTCATGGTTCGCAACGCCAAGACGTACAATCAGGAGGGAAGTTGGGTGTACAATGACGCGGTGGAGTTGCAGAAGGCGTTTGATGGGGTGTACGATATGTTTTGTCGACACAGTGGGTTGCCTGGGAGTGAGAATGAGGGTGAGGCGTCGGTTGGTGCGCCGGCTGGAGGAGGGGATGAGGACGAGGACGAGGAGGCGGAGGAGGGAGAGGAGGAGGAGGAGAAGCCCGTCGTTCCTGCCGCGAGGGGGATCAAGATCAAGCTGGGGAAGAGGAAAGTGGTGAGGAAGAAGGGCGAGAGCGATGACGAGGAGTGAGGACGTTTGTAGTCATGTCGACAGAAAAATTTGTGATTTATGGTTTCGTGTACCTTTTCGACGTGTGTGCGTGTCAGGGGGAGGCTTGAGGGCATGCGTGTGTTGCGAAGGGCTTGAACGGGCGAGGAGCCGAGCTGTGTGGCGGAGAGTGACTGGGCTGGGACAGGATGATGGAGCGACGAGGGGCGTTGAGGGCAAACGTTGGCATCGGGCAGTCGGGCGAGGTGCAACGGAGAAAGGTGGGAAACTTTCGGCGGGAGCGGGATCCTGATCCTCCTCATGCTGGAGCTAGCGTCGTCGCATGGCGAATGGGTCAACCTCGGTGAGGTAAGTCGAATCTGTGAAGCCGGTTCGAGGCAGCAGCAAAAGGTGGGGTCTCGAGAGCGGGTCACATCCGTCGAACTGCTCAAAATCCAGCAAGGTGGGGGCTGACCATTTTTCATTGGTGTTAGAGCCCCCAGCGACACTGCTCGACATCGCGCATATGACATCGCCACACTTGTCTCATCGGCTTCTTCATCGTCCAATATCGCTTTGCCCTTCTGTTCAGCGATATCAAACATCGTACGTGTTGGTGTGAAGATGCATAGCGCTGGCTTGATTGTCTCTACTCTTGGTATGTGAAACGACTCTCTCTATGTTCCAAAAGGCGGGGGCGGGATCTAAAAAGGCTGGAACTCGTTGGATGAGGACGATGAGGGGGATTGTTTCTTCTTCCTCTGCTGCTGATCTGGCGCATACCCTTGCTGCTGCTGTGGCTTGTACTGTTTTTGCGTATACAACATGTGTTCGGGTGCGCTCTCCGAACGATGCTGGAGCATGTTGGTTGGAACATTGCGATCCTTTTGCCAGCCGAAGCGGAGCCACCGACTATGCATGAAGACGCCCTGGATGCTGAGTGTGCAAATCGCACTGGCAGCTTGGGCGTGGCTGGCAAGGGTCACAAAGCCATAGCCGCGACCGGGCGGGATGCGGGCTTCGAGCGGTTGTCCGTGGTTAAAGGGCGCAAAGATGCGCACCAGGTCTTGCTGCGACGTGAGCGGAGATACGTTGCCGACGTAGACGCTGGTTTGCGAAGCAGGCGCTTCGGCGAGGATCTGCTCGTAGTCGTACTTGGCGGTCGAGCCGGGATTGATTTGGAGCGGCGCAAATTGCGGTCGGGATGCGAGGGTGGTATGGCGACGCGGGAGGAGGACTTGCGAAAGTGGATCGTGGTGATGGCCAGGAGGTGCAAGGCCGGGAGATGGTGGTGCTCTTGGTGGAAAGCTGTTGGTACGTTGCTGAGACGGAGGTGCTGGCTCTTGCGCCGTGTACGCTGAAATAAAGTCGGGAGGGACCAACGATGAGGCTTGGTTCGGATTCTTCTGACTAGCCCAATTGACCCGGATCTGTCGACCGCCAAGCCACTGTCCTTGCATGACTGCGATGCATTCTTCGGCCTCGTGCTTGCTGCGAAAGCTGATGAAGCCGAACCCGCGAGACTTGCCCGTCTCTGGATCGTACATGACTCTCACGTCCGCTAGGGACGGGAACCTGGAAAAGATCGACTGCAACACCCCATCGTCTACCTCTGGCGAAAGATCGCCGACGAAGAGATGCGACTTGGCACCTGGGTTGCTACGCATCACGTTGGGACGGTCGACGTCTGGAGTGTCGATCTTTGCCTCGGGATGCATGCTGTGTCTTGCCCAACACACCTTGATCGGTGTACCAAACCATAGCCAGCCATCCATGGTGCGGATTGACCGCTCTGCAGATGCCACGTCGACGTACTCGACAAAGCCGTACACAAGTCCGCCTGAGGAGCGACTGGTCACCACTTTGACTGACTGAATCTGACCCAAGGATCCAAAGGTCTCGCGCAGATCGCGCTCCGTTGTGGTCGCCGGCAGATTGGCGACATGGACGAGCGGTCGGATAGGCATAGTCACGTTGACACGCTGAGACGTCGGACTGGTGCTGCGACCCGGTGGCTTCGAAGCGTACGGCATCGTCATGGCTGAAGTCTAGTCTGGGTCGTTCGTGCTGACAAGGTGCTGCGAACGAGACAGTGAGAGTCGTTGGGAAGATGTTGACGGTCAGAGGGCTGGTAACAGGATGTAGCGGTAGCAAGTGCCAAGTAGTTGTGGATGAACAGAAGTCGAGATGTTGGAGAGGGAGAAGTCGAAAAGCGACACCGCAGGGAAACGCTGCAAAGCGTTCCTCGCATCAGGATGACTGGCACGTCATGTCCATACTGACGTCGTTACATGTGACTATAGTGGCCTGCCGTGACAAATAGCGACGACCATCCGTCTTGCGGGACGGCACAAAGCTGGCATCAATTCAGGCGTCGCCGATGACCGGCGACTGATGGTGATGACGGTCGACTGAGAGCAGTTCAGGCGTACTTGGCAAGATCTGAGATGCGGAGTCCACTTACCTGGTGGTGGGTTCGTAAAGGTCTATTATGCCACAAAGCTGAGGAGAATCTTGGACGTCGTGCTTGTGGAACGGTCGAAACTGTCAGCAGAGTCTATTCACAACATGTTCGCTACGATGGCGGCAGTAGTGGTGGATGCTGAATTGGAACCAGGATACAGCTAGTCTGTCGGTTGATTCATTGCCACTCGACGGGTCCTTTGCATTGTTTGGAGGAGTTGTTGGCTAATGTCGATGCCTCAAGCTGCAGAATGAGCACTGGGTACAAAGGTGTCATGCGCTAGCCCTCCTTCAAGAAGGAAAGAGGGCAACGTGATCCTTTGCGAAGAATGATACGGATGGCGAGGGAGCGATGAGCAGGTGGATGTCTGGAGGGAGGGAGTGAAGATGCAAACCGGTCGGCTGCCAGTGGGGGCGAGCGATCGGGAGGTGACAAGCCCACAGGCCATCCTTTTGCAAGTCACATTTAGGATACGGCGTGGCCAATCACAAGGAAACGGGATGCAAAAGAGAGTGGGACCACAGCATAGGAGGTGAAAGAAGCTTGACATGGAGCAGCAAGGCGCTGTCACAAGAACATTCGGTTTCAGCCAGTCCAGAAGCAGTAAAAAGTGCCCGACTAGCATGAAAGTGGTTTGTGCCCCTCTGAGGGGGGCTTTCCTCGTTTTATCGCCGAAGAGGTCGGAGTCATCAAACCTTTGGGAAGCTCAACACAAAGGTATGAGTTCGCATGTGTCTGCAGGGTTTCGACAGTAGGCTCGGCTGTGCATGCAACTGGCCTGTGCTCACTCCTTCTCGCCAGAACTTAATCGAATGCTGACATCCCGGCCAGACGCCAATGATTGCTTGCCCCTCCCCCCTTCTGTCCGGACTGTTCCATGCAATCATCAGCACACTTGAAACGTAATCTTCGAGTGGTATCACGGGCCATCTTGTGGTCCAAGGTGGGCAGAGCAGGGCACCGGAGTAGGCAAATACCCAGACGAGGAAGAAGTACAATGGTACCAAAGCGGAACCGGAAAGCCGAAGAAGCCAATCTAAAGCGCAGGGTTGTCTCGCAAGGAGCATATCGGAGCCCTTGTACGTCGGTACGAACAAAAGAAGGCGTTTTGCACGCGAGTCTCGTTGCGCGCGTTTGAGCTCGACGGTAGGACATGCGTGGCTCGCCGGAAGCGGGTTGAGTACCTCGAGAGGCACGATGACGAGAGGAGACTTTGCCGAACCTCGCCAGGATGCAGCCCTTTCGGAGGAAGGAATAAGCGTACATGTTTGTGGTCTACCAGCCGAGTTGTTGGGCTTGCTAGCGGAGTACTCCGCTCATCCGAGCCATTCGGTCTGCACAAATGGGCTGTTTAGCAAGGGAAGGGGACGCTATACCGGGTACAGCATGCAGGACGACTCAATCTCGTTCCTGAACGGACGGAGCCTCGTGCATACGTCACTCTGCTCGAAGCGAGGCAGGTTTCTTCTGCACACGCTTTGTCTTCGCCCACCTGGCTCAGACGCAGCAGACGAGCTGTCCGAGAAGAGGCACCTGCTTTGAACTCAAGCGTGAGATGACTCGTGCAAGCGAGGCAGCATTTTCGGGCGTGCGGGCATGGACGATACAGCTTGACCTGCATGTATGCCACTGTACATTGTTCGCTTTGTCTCAGACGGAGAACAGAAGGGTACCGCCCCAGCTCAGCATGCATCGAAGGGGCGAGAGCGAGTAAAAGAGGATGGCCCTCGCACACGCGCACAAAGTGGACTTGCAGGCCACCTCTTTGAGTCTAAAAAACCTTAATTTGAGCTCTATTCGGCTTCCAACGTCCAAACGCCGGGGCCTGTGCTCACCTCGCCTATGACGGAGCGAGGCAAAAAAACAAAGATCTGCCAACCGCGCAACCTCGGCTTTTGAATGGGTAAGCGTCGAGGGTGAAAAGTAAGGTCTGCTTTGGTACATCTGAGAGGGCGTGAATGGAGTCGCTCTTCTGGAGCGTAAGACATCAGCCAATCAGAGTAAGCCATACCTGTGATTCTTTCTCTCGGGTGACCACATCTCGCATGGAACATCTGCACCTGTCTCCACACTCAGAAGAACTGGAGCTCGGCTGCTCTCCCTTTCCCAC